GGGGGCAACACGAACAAAATGGCAGCTCAGGTGCTTCTGTCTACTCACATGGTCAGCGTGGGCATGGCAGAGCCTTCCTCTTGGGGCTGTGCTGGAATGTGACAAGGCCCAGATGTTAAGCACATGGCCGAGTGCTCCTGTTCTAGCTTTCGGAGCTGGCATTCTGGAGTTTTGTTGTTGTTTTTTTTCCTACAAAGAGAAAGCAGTTCCACCGAAACTCACTGGTAATTGGTAACCATATTGGTATATTCCCAAAGGACACACTCATCTATTTGTTTTTTTCCTGTCAGCCTTGGGGCTTGAACTCTGGGCCTGGGCGCTGTCCCTGTGCTCTTCAGCTCAAGGCGAGAGCTCTACCACTTGAGCCATAGCGCCACTTCCCGTTTTCTGGTGGTTTATTGGAGCTAAGAGTCTCATGGCCTTTCCCGCCCTGGCTGGCTTTGAACGGCAATCCTCAGATCTCAGCCTCCTTAGTAGCTAGGATTGCAGGCATGAGCTACTGGCACCCAGCACTCATTTCTTTTTTGTATTTGGCCAATGTCCCCAGTCTCCGGGCTCAGTACGGCACAGAAATGCCATTCAATGCGGTCCACGGGAGCTGGAACAGAGAAGAGGCAAGCAGAGAGCTGGCCTTGCTCTTCCCCAATTTCAGGTTTTCAGACAACGACACAGAAGCCCTTCAGGGTAAGTCATCAGAACCCAACTGGCCTTTATTCAGTCTGAGGTGAAGAGGAACTGGGTTCATTATTTAACTAATCAAGTGTTGTTCTGAAAACACGGGGTCCTTCTGTAACTCGAGTTACATACACAACTGAGTTTTCCGTGTCTGAGTCTTGTGTGCTTTCATAGCACAACAGTACTGCTTTTCTAGTTCTTGTTTTTAATTATTTTATTTTTGTGTGTGCCAATACTGGGGTTTGAACTCAGATCTGGTTCTCACTTGGCTTTTTTTTTTTTTTCAGTCAAGGCTGGGGCTCTACTGCTTGAGCCACAACTCCACTTCTGGCTTTTGGAGGTTAATTGGAGATAAGGAGTCTCACAGACTTTTCTGCCCAGGCTGATTTTGAACCCTAATCTTCAGATCTCAGTTTTCTGCTAGCTAGGATTAGAGGTGTCAGCCAGTGGCCTTGTGTATGACATCCTACATGCTGAATAAATGTTATTCCTTTTGAAATATATATATATATATATATATATATATATATATATATATATATATATAAATAATTTGGTCAGTTGTGGGGCTTGAACTCAGTCTGGGTGTTGTCCCTGAGTTCTTTTGCTCAGGGCTAGGGCTCTACCACTTTGAGCCACAGTTCCCCATCTGGTTTTCTGGTGGTGGTTCGTTGCAGGTAAAGAGTCTCACAGATTTTCCTGCCTGGGCTGGCTTTGAACTCTGATCCTCAGGTCTTAGCCTCCTCAGTAGCTAGGATGACAGGCATGAGCCTCTGGTTTTGTGTAGGACATCTTAAATGATGAATGAATGTTATTCCTTTGGGGGAATTTTTAATTTCTCACTTCTAACACACACATTAAGCTCTCCCTGGTGCTTCTCCTAGCCTAACTCCTATCTTAAGGCTAGGTGGTTTGGTTCTGTTTGCTTGGGGGTGGCCAGCGGGCAGAAGACCTGGGCTGTGGCTGTTGCTGAACTTCTATCATCCCACAGGTGATGAGACCCAACCAGAGGCAGGCCCCATGGAGGTACTTTGTGCTCCTGACAACATGGACAAAGACCCCATGCTGCTCTTCCAACCCCGTGACTAGAGGCAAGACCACAGGGCCACCCAATCACAGGTCAGCACATAGAACAGAGTCTGAGAACAAGACCTATGCCCGTGATCACCAGTGGGGTTCTGCCTTAACTGTCCTTTAAGGGCAATCCAAACCATAGTCTATGCTTCCCGGCCTTATTAAACAGTAGAGAGGACATACTGGTTTCCCCTCTTGCTTCTGGGTTTTTATAACACCAGTGAGCCTGGGCTGGGAAGGTGGCTCAGTGGTAGAGCGCTGACTTAGTGTGCATGAAGCGTTGGGTTCAATTCCTTAGTACCACACACATACACATACAGAAAGCTGGAAGTGGCGCTGTGGCCCAAGTAGTAGAGTGCTAGCCTGGAGCAAAAGCTCACAGACAGTGCACAGGCCCTGAGTTCAAGCCCCAGGACTGGCAAAAAAAAAAATCATTGGGCATGAGTCATCATACTCTGCTAAGACAATAGTGAATAGTGTCACACGGGACAGGGGTGGAATTCCAGACAAGCTCATCTCCTTTTTTTTGGTCAGTCATGGGGCCTGAACTCTGGGCCTGGGCGCTGTCCCTCAGCTCTCCAGCTCAAGGCAGGCGCTCTACCACCTTGAGCCACAGCGCTACTTCTGGATTCTTCTACTTATGTGGTACTGAGGAATCGATCGCAGGGCCTCATGCATGCAAGGCAAGCGCTCTACTACTGAGCCACCTTCCCAGCCCAGAAGCTCATCTTCCAACTGTGATCTTGAACACAGCACAGGGCAAGCTGATGCAGCCAGCACGTTGCTGTGCTGTGCTCTTCTGCTGTGTGCCCATCTGCAGCAATCCTGCACGCCATTGGGGAACATCTCTATTTTCTTGGCATGTCCCTCCCTGTTTTCCTTGGTTCAACATTAAGACCCAATGAGCCAAGGGCCGGTGCTCACGCCTGTCATCCTAGCTACTCAGGAAGCTGAGATCTGAGGATCATAGTTCAAAGCCAGCCTGGGCAGGAGCGTCTGAGACCCTTACCTCCAATGAAGCTCCAGAAAACCGGAAGTGGTGCTGTGGCTCAAGTGGTAGAGCACTCACCTTGAGCTGAAGAAGCTCAGAGAGAGTGCCAAGGCCAAGTTCAAACTCCACAATTGACCAAACAAACAAAACCCCAGATTCCTTGGTTGGGAGTGGGGGCAGGGAGCCTTCACTGAATTGCTGGCTTAGCCACGGCTCCAGAGTTCTTCCTCTAAGGGATGGAGGACTTGGATGAAAAGGGTCTAGAACCCCAGGGAACACCTCTAGGCGCGCACCACACCCTCTTCCCAGTTTGTTCTTGGCTTCTTTGTTAAATTCACCAAACCTAGGCTTCCTCAGCTCTTGCTAAGCGAAAGGGGCTGGGTCCCCCCACTGCACATCAGGAAGGAAACACCCATAGACAACACCTTCCTTGGGTGCTGATTGTGTCAGGAGTCAATCTAGACACTGGCAAAAACTTCCCTTAAGTGGGCAGCTGGCTCCCAGAAGCCAGCACGTCCTGGAAGCACTGCATTTTTCCACCAGCCTGGCATGAGCCATTCTCTGGGGAGCCCTGGGCTGCTCTGGGGAGAGGAGGTGGGAACCAAGGCCTGGCACACTGGCTTCATCTACTAGTCCCTCGAGGGAAGATGGGAGAATTCGCGAGTGGCTTCTGGCTACCTACTCTCTGGGCCTGGCTTCCCATGCCAGATCATGGGGGAGCATTGCATCTGGATGGGCTTCTAGGGGTGTAAAAGCCCCTCAACTCCCCGGTGTGGGTTTCCGGTGGGAGAGGGGCAGGCCTTGTTAGTAAAGAATCTTAGGCTCAGGGGCTGGGAAGGTGGCTCAGTGGTAGAATGCTCGCCTAGCATGCATAAAGCCCTGGGTTTGACTCCTCAGCACCACATACACAGAAAAAGCCAAAGTGGCACTGTGGCTCAAGTGGTAGAGCGCTAGCCCTGAGCAAAAGAAGCCCAGGGACATTGTCCAGGCCCTGAGTTCAAGCCCCAGGACAGGCAAAAATAAAAAAGGACCCCAGGCTCCATTCAACGGCCTGGCTCTGGCCTGTCCTCAGGAAACACTGCCGGGCAGCATCGAGGCCAAGAGCCCAACAGGACACAGAGGTAGAAGTGAGAGGAGGCTGGACCAAGCTTCCCGTGGACCACAGAGCCAAGTCTGGGCACTGTGACCAGGGAAGGTCCGTGCTAGGGACAGAAGAGGGAAGCAGCCCTACCCCAGGTGACACGGGGTTGGGACACTTTCCTGCTTGGCCTAATCAGGGCCTGGGGCGGGAGTGTCCCCCCCTTCTCCCTTCTCAGTTCTCCCTATGACGGTTCTATAAAGGGGCCTGCTCAGCCTTCCTCCTGGTCTCTCCCCTGGGGTCCCCCCCAGAGCTTCACTAAAATCCTCTCCCTGCCACTGTGTCCTTGAGGGGTGACCATACAGCTGACTCCCATTAATTGAGTTCAGGTCGGCGGGTGGCAGCCAGGGGTACATACCCCAGGGAAGACGGAGGAGGAAGGGGTCGATTCCTTGGCAGTGGGGGTCTTGGTGTCTGGGAGCGGCCACCTGTGGACCCCCGTGGGAGCCCTGAGGCATAGACCCCCCTCCCCTCCCCACTGCCAGCCCTTCAATCACCAAGAAAAAGCCACCAATGATGATCTACCAGTTCCTAATGATCCAGACGTGTGGAAAACAGACTCACTTTTTTTTTTTTTTTTTAAAGAAGTTGCCATGATTTTTCTTGGCAGTTTATTCTCATGTGTTAAAACCAGATCCAAACACTCCCAGAAGAACATGTATGGTTCTGAATAAAGTGCTTGGGGGGGGGGGGGGCCAGGAGGGGGAGAGAAAGAAAGCAACTTATTTATTACCTGGACATTCTTTTCTAGTTTGTAAGTTCTGGGTTACAATTTGGACACAAAGGAGAGCGGAAGCCCGATGCTGTTCCTCCTCCCTCCATCTTCGTGCTTCTGGAACACGGCACCTGTACACGGTGGTAATAATGAATACATCTCCCTTCGCTCCGAGAAGAAACCAAACCAAACTATAAAGCACTTCTCTCCAGTACTGTTTCTACGCCCAGGCAGGATCTCTCCAGAGTAAGTGTCAGGGTGTTAGTTTCCTGGGCCTTCACTCTCATCTAGGTTCAAGATTGTCTCAGCAAAGCAAGTATTGGTTTCTTGATATTTACCTGGTACTTTTAGATACCAACACTAGAGAGTTTTGTGTTTCCAATGTCAACTAAGGATTTCTTTTTCCCCCAGTAATTAAAAGTGACAAGGAGTAGGCCCTAAAGAAGGCTGAATTCCTAAATAAATTGGTTTTCTTACATGAGCACTCCTGGGATCTGCATATAATCCAAGTTCCTGCTGGGGCAGGTTTTAAAAATCAGTAAATACCCTGGAAAAATAAAAATAATGCGGACATCTCCGTGTTTGAATCTTGGGAGGAGGGTCATGTTGAGAACAGGAAGCGTTGCATTAAATACATCTTAAAAACATTCATTCACAATCAACCATGTGAAGCCTTCCAACCAAGGAAGGTGGGAGTTGGAGAGAGGGCGCTGTGTGGTGGGCGCAGCCCCTCGGGAGTGGCCGGTGGGCGGGCGTGGGACCCCATCGGGGGGCAGACACGGTGGCACGCTTCAGTCAGGAGCAACTTCTGTCGGGTTCACCGCAGAGCGACCGCAAGTTGGAGCTGGTGTCAAGCCAAGGGGTACAAAGGGCTGCCAAGAAGAAAGACGTCATCTGCGATCTTCCTGGGGGGGGGAAAGAGTCTCGTCCTGCCCACGAGCGTCTTGCGGGGATGGCAAAGAGGCAGGTTTCTCGGCGGGGCACCCTGTCCCTTCCTTCCAGGGATGGGTCGCTGAAACCTCGGGAGCTTCGCAGTGACACGACCCTGCTGCTTCAGAGAGCGCGCGATCCGACTTCACCCCACCAAGTGAACACCCCTGCTTGTGGCTTGGGGCCGGAGCTTTCCACGCCAGCGGCAGGCTCTCGCACGGCTCAGCAGCTCCGGGTGCTTCCTGCAGGACTTCTCGCCAGCAGCGGGGACACCTCGGGGTGTGAATTTGTTGCCTCGCTCGCTCCACCCTGGCCTTCGGACTTGGGGCACCTGAGAATGGGATGACGGGGGCTGCAGGAGGCTCAGCGCCTGCGCACACCGTTGCAGCCAGGCGCGCGGTTTCACACAGCGCCTGCGCACACCGTTGCAGCCAGGCGCGCGGTTTCACACAGCGCCTGCGCACACCGTTGCAGCCAGGCGCGCGGTTTCACACAGCGCCTGCGCACACCGTTGCAGCCAGGCGCGCGGGTTTCACACAGCGCCTGCGCACACCGTTGCAGCCAGGCGCGCGGTTTCACACAGCGCCTGCGCACACCGTTGCAGCCAGGCGCGCAGGTTCACACAGCACCAAGGACAGAGCCGGCTGACAGCCAAGTTTGTTTTTTTCCTGTGAATTTTTTTTTTTTTTTTTGGTCTTTGTTTTTATAAAGAAAAATCTATGTAAGTTGAGGTTCAGAAATGCATATATATATATATATATATGTATATATATTTTTTACTTACAAATATTCATCTGACCAAAATTCAACATAACCTTTATGGAACACTAAACAATTGTTTTGTTTTAAAATAACATTTCATTCAAACTGTATATAATTCAGTAAAGTTTTTTTTGTTATTTTCTTTTATACAGCAAGCAATGCTTAAACCCTGGAAAATCTGTAGAAAAGAGATTTTCACACAAAATAAGAAAAGAAAAAAATCTGAGGTATCCCTCACCCACACATACATTCAGTTGACTCCTGTGTACACACGCACACACACACACACACACACACATGTGCACACGCACACACACATACGCACACTCATTCCCACCCACAAAGTGGCTGCAGCATAGGCAAAAAATTGTAGGTCCAAAGGAAAATGATTGATTGTTCTAATAAAGAGTCCAGGTAGCTCAGAAAAACCAAACCAAACCAAAATACAATGTTAATAGTCCTCTGAGGAAAATACTACCTCAAAAAAAAAAAAAAGTTCTCAAGATGAATTTGAGATCTAAGCCTACTAAATTGCTTTTGCAAAACAGCTCCCTGCAGTCCAAGGTGACTTGTGCAAATAGAAGGAATCAAATGAGGCTAGTCCTGTGCATCCTTAGGCCAGGACCGAGGGACACTGGCAGGTGCCGGGCTGGGCCGGGCCAGGCCGGGCTGGGGAGCTCCAATCACGCCAGGTACTGCTGCAGTGCGGTCTTTGCCCTGAAATCACAAAGGTCCTGTTACCATCATCTCAGAGGCAAAAAACCCCCAGGGCCAATGATAGCAGCTGACATTTGAAAAGGCTGATCTCCAAGGAGACCTGGGAGTCCAGCTTCAAACCCAGGTCGGGCTGTATCTTTCTGCCTGGCACTCTCTGTCAGGTGGCTGGTTAAGCCCACCGTGGCTCGGGATCTACGAGTTTCCTGTGATGGTGGCACACAGCTGTGATGGGTGAAACTCCTTGGTGGTGTCTCAGCACTAGAGGAAGTTACTTAGGACTCTGGGAGGCAGAGAGAGGAGGAGAGCTGAGTAGGCAAAGGTGCTGAGGGGTTGGCTGGAGGCTGCGTGGAGGGAGCCAGTGGGCTGAGGCTGTCTCATGGTTGAAAGGCCTCCTCACACTTGGCCAACGTGGGCTGTAGGTTGTCATAGTGACTGGCAGAGAGCAAAACAGGGGATGGCCTTACCCAATCCTTAGCAAAGTGGCCTCCTTTATGGGAGAATCCTCAAGCGCAGTGGATTTTCAAGAGGATGCAATTGAGGATGAGGAAGGCTGCGTTTATCTGTGTCTGGGGTACTAAGGAATGGAACCCAGGGCTTCATGCATGTCAGGCAAGCACTCTACCACTGAGTCACCTTCCCAGCCCTGCATTTCTATTCTAACAGTCAAGTGGCCTCTGGACTTTCTCCAGATACCACCGGCCAGAGCTCACTAACTGCTGGACAAGTGAGAGGCTATAATAATCTCCTCATTATTACTTCTCTCACTCGAATGTCATAGTTGGTCCATGGGAAATCCAATTCAAACCTTTCATGAAAGAATGTAACACAGCCCAGATAAAACAAGGATTGTAGCTGGGAGCTGGTAGCCCACACCTGTCATCCTAGCTACTTAGGAGACTGAAATCTGAAGATTGCGGTTCAAAGCCAGCCTGGGCAGGAAAGTCATGAGACTCTTATCTCCAATGAGCCACCAGAAAACCAGAAGTGGCGCGGTGGCTCAAGTGATAGAACATTATCCTTGAGCTGAAGAGCTGAGGGACAGCGCCCAGGCCCAGCGTTCAAGCCCCACGACCAACTGAAAAAAACAAAACAAAAAACAAGGCTCTTTCCCGTTGCTACTCACTTGTCACAAAGGTTTGAGTCTGGCGACTGACTCAGTTTATGGAGGATATCTACAATGCCCATGTCTCGTAATTTATCCTGGCGTTCCTGTGAACCTGTAAGATGAGCACCGTCAGGTTACAGGGAACGAGATGCAGGCGGCTGCTGAGCTCAAGTCTCAGCACAGTGCTTCCCTCCTCTCTCCTCTGCCTCCCGTCTGCCCCAGTGTAACTGGATTGCTCCCTCCCTCCCTCCCTTCCTTTCTCTGTCCCTGTCCTTCCTTTTGTTGTAGTAGGGACTGAACTCTCAGTTCATGCATGCTAGGCAAGGGCCCTACATTTGGGCCACTCTCCAGCTCTTTTATTCCAGCCTTGAACTTGCAATCCTCCTGTCTCTGCCTTCTCAGTAGCTGGGATTATAGATGTGCTCAACCACACCTAGCCTCTCCTACACTTCTAAGTGGTCTACGCCTCTTGGTTCTCCTTCTAGCAGTCCATCCTGGACTTCATTCCGTGAATGAAGTCATGGTGGGATTCTTCAGCCTGGCACAGACCTGTCATTCTTTTAGGACGGACCAGCAGCTTCCTGCTCCAAAAGTTCTTGTTTTCTACTCTCCTCCTCTCTCCTGGCACTGTCTGCTACTGCCTCTTGGTAGTAGCACAATCCACACCACTCTGTTCTTTCCCCACCGAAGAGCCCGGTGACCCCTCATGCACGCAACCCCCCAGCAAGCCAGACTCTAGGCCTGGATAGAGAGCAGATACTGGCATTCCAAGTTTCCCAGGAGACTCGAAATGGTCCAGCCAATCCAGCACTGACACCCGGGGCTCTCTGCCACCCGTGCATGCCTTGCTGGACCCTGGACCCACCCAGGGAGCACGAAGGCCATCTATGTCCACCATCTACCCTTCGAGATGGATTTAGTTGGCCTGAGGTGATGCTAACACACAGCCAAGGATCTCTGAACCGTACGGGCTCTGTATAGATGGACACCACGCGCCCCCCTCTGCACCTTGCCTCTCCGACTGTCCTTTTTTTTTTTTTTTTTTGTCGGTCATGGGGCTTGAACTCTGGGCCTGGGCGCTGTCCTTCAGCTCAAGGCGAGCACTCTACCACTTGAGCTACAGCGCCACTTCCGGTTTTCTGGTGGTTTATTGGAGATAGGAGTCTCACAGTCTGCCCGGGCTGGCTTTGAACCGTGATCCTCAGATCTCAGCCTCCTGAGTAGCTAGGATGACAGGCGTGAGCCACCAGCGCCCGGCCTCTCCGAGGCCTCTCCGAATGTCCTTAAGTGCACTTCTTTTGCTGATAACCGAACACCCACCTGCCCCGCCCTGCGCTCTCCTCTCACCTTCCTCTCTCACGTCTTTCCTCCTGCACGGGGAGGGATGAGCGCATCTCACCCTCATGATTCTGGGGTGCTTGTTTGACACCCCTGCCGGTTCAGGCTGGGGGCTGGCTGGTCCAATGCAGCGAGTGGGCTCCTGCCCAGGGGCTCGGGGGCACCTTTGCTGCCTTGCCCTACATGACTGTCTTCCCATAATATAACTCAGAACCAATCTCCCCGATTTCTTACCTTCCTCTTCGTTCCATATGAGGTTTGATACACAAAACATAGCGGCGAGCTGCAGTTTGACGTGTGAATGGCCCTATGGATGCAGAGAAGGGATGAAAAGCAAAAGGTGGATGATGTCATTTGAAGAGGCTTTTTCTGATATTCTGTAGATCACTGGAAGAGCCTCTGGGCTTGAAGCCGAGGCCAGAACCTCTACGGCCTGGAGGACCCATGAGTTACTCTCTGTAACTGTCGGGGTCAGGCCTGGCACGAATCTGACCAGCCTTGCCAGGAGGTATCCGAACCCATTCTACATCCACCTCACGAACCACAAACCACCTCACAACTTACAAACACTCTACCCTCCCAACATCGCTTGTCCAACGTAAAATTAGAGAACACAGCCACGGCAGAAGCTGAGTAATTAAACCATACCTATGTCTATAAGAGTATGCAAAAAATAAAAAATAAAAAGACAAGATCTCTAATGGATTGATCAAACGTCCCAAGTATGACTGAGGTGCCATCCATGGTTCTAAAGGACAATACTGGTTATGTTTCCGTATGTACTGACAGCGCAAACATCCTGATTAGGTCCACTGTTCACGGGCAGTGATTTCTCTCGCTGTACGAAAGAGGGGTCGACAGTGAAACAATCTGTAAAGATGATTTCCCCACTGGTCAATGTGAAGAGCCTTCTTGTACACTTAATGTACACTCCTCTGTCACGCCTGTCATCCTACCTACTCAGGAGGCTGATTTCTGAGGATCGAGGTTCAAGGCCAGCCGGGACAGGAAAGTCTATGAGATTCTTATCGCCAATTAACTACCAGGAAACTGGAAGTGGTGCTGCGGCTCAAAGTGCTAGAGTGCTAGCCTTTAGTGAAAAAACTAAGGGACGGTGCCCAGATCCTGAGTTCAAACCCCATGGCTAACCAAAAAAAAAACAAAAAATAAAAAAACCCCAAAAACCAACAGATCTGAGGGAATTCGCTGGCAAGGTAAGTAATGATTTGCTGAAGGCAAGGACAAGATATCCTCTCGTGTAGGACTAAACTCCTAAGACAGAGGCGTGGAGACATGGCCAGGACCTCCTCCATTTGCATTCTGCGGTTAGGGATTCTGTTTTTACTTTTACCTCTCAACCATTATAGGGACATGTCTGCTTTGGGCTCCATTAAGAAAGAATACAAGTTATCATCTGCTCCTGGCGGGTGAAGAAGGGCAGGGGCACTGGCTTACAAGAGAATCAGCAAAGGACACAGGCAGGCTGAGAGCACATTTGGGTTTTGTGCATGTGAGTCCTCAGCTTGGCTCTGCGCTTTCTCTGCAACATCTGAACAAAAGCGGGGGTGGGGGGGAAGGGGGCGGGCACTCAGGCTCACCATGTAATACTTGATTTTCTGCAGGATGTCATCATTGGTCATGATGAGCTCTTTTGCTGTTGTCCCGTCGGCTATGTTGGCTAAGATGCACAGTGTCTGGAAAGCACAAACAGCCAGGGATCAGGAAAGCTCTGAGGTGGGGCTGGAGGGGAGGCTCAGGTGGCAGAGCGTGTGTGAGGCGGAGTTCAAACCCCAGCAACCACAGGGGAAAAGAGAACATAGGAAGGGAGGGAGGGAGGGAGGGGAGACCCTAAGTTATCCTTCTCGCAAAGCCTGGATTTCTCACTCCTGCGCCCCTTCCAACCCACCCACACACACCACCCACACACACACACCAACCCGACCACACCCACCCACAGCCCACCTCAGCCAAGGCGAGCTCAAACCACCACAGGGGTTTCCACACGAGAAAGAGCACATACCTGCTCCTTCACCTCAATACTATGCTCTCCTTCCAGTATCAGAGTGACCGCCTGCATGATCTGCTTCCCGTGAGTACTCATTATTTTGTCTATGTGCTGCAAAACAACGGGGAAGGCAGGATTATCATCCAGGAAACCAAAGAAAAAGACCACAGAGAGAAGCCTTCCAGAAGTTTAGTGATGGGAGACACCACGCCCTACCCTACAAGACTAGATGGCAAACCTCGGGGGTTCAGTATACTCTGAAGCCACATTTTACCTTCATATAAAACGACCAGGAAGGGAGAACATGGAGTTGAATACAGAACTAAAATCCCTGGCGTTCCTCAAGCCCAAAGAACTAAATAAAGCAGCACAAAAATGACTGGGGGGTAGGGCAGGGGGAGGGGCGGTGTGATGCATGTTGTGGCTTTACTACTATCCTGGCATCCTGGGGCAGGGGCTGATGCGTGCAGAAGACTCAAAAGACCAGAGAGGTTCCGAGAAGGGAGCAGGCACATTTTCATGTCTACCTGAAGGCCTTCAGACACTTGCTCGCCCCTGTAATCTTAGCTACTCGGGAGGCTGAGATCTGAGGATCCCAGTTCAAGGCCAGCCTGGACAGGAAAGTCTGTGAGACTGTTGTCTCTAATTAACCACCGTGAGACCAGAAGTGGCGCTGTGGCTCAAAGCGGTACAGCGCTCATCTTGAGCTGAAGAGCTCAGGGACAGCTCCCAGACCCACAACCCACCAAACAAGAAAAAAAAAGAAAAAAGAAGGCTCCCCACAGCCAGCGACGTGGTCCTTCCACTCTGCCATGAACTCACTGATCTACAAACACACCTTCTGAGGTCCATCTCGTGAAAGGGGGCAGGGAGGGGACCTCTGTGAAACAGACTGAACAAGAAAGTTCTATGGAGAAGCAGAGGCCTCAGGGATAGGGATTGAGGCAGCGAAGAAGAGCCATGCTGACTGGCAAAGCAGGTGTAGAGTAAGATACAAAGGTGGGGGAGGGGGGAAGGAGGAGAGAAGAGGGGGAGGAGCCGTGCAGGGTGGTGGGTGGGACTAGATGGTAACCTCTAAGGTATCCTATAGCTCCCAGAGCAGCTCTGAAGATGGCAGGCAACCCCACAATGCCTTGCTTCTCTGGGGACGGATGGGATTAGGTCACACTTCCGGGCAGCATTTACTTACGGGCCGAGTGGAGAGGAGATTCCGAAGGAGGCCCAGGGTCTTCATCAGCACATTCAAATCTGAATCTGATAATAACCGGAAGAGCTGTTCAGTACTCAAGCTTCGTAAAATATCGGCTTTTATTTTTTGTTCAGCCTGAAATGCCATATTCTGAAAGGATCGAAGAAGTTGCAAGAATCATGTCTACATTGACTTAGTACGATGAGATTGCATAGTAACTGATATTTTCAAACCACAAGCAGCAGGGATACAAAGTCCTTCGGCGTGTGACACACTGCTCTGAGCTCCTGCTCGTGGACTTCACCCTTCTGTGTGCTGGGAGTCTAACTGCCACTCCCAGACAAGCTTTCCTGCGGGGAATGGAGCCGCTTTCTGACTCACCGGGGCATCTGAATGTCTTTCAAGATCGCTGAAAAACTATCAAATATACTTAGTGCTTTTTAAATTTAATGTTGGTCCTTGGGCTTGAACTTAGGACCTAGGCATTGTCCTGAGCTTTCTTGCTCTCTACCCCCTGAGCTACAGTTCCACTTGCGGTTTGTTGTTAGTTTGGGGTTTGTTTTTCTTGGTGGCTTATGAGAGGTTAAGAGTCTTTTTTTGTTGTTGTCGGTCGTGGGGCCTGAACTCGGCCTGGGCACTGTCCCTCAGCTCAAGGCTAGCACTCTACCATTTGAGCTACAGTGCCACTTCCGGCTTTTTCTGCTTATGTGGTGCTGAGGAATCGAACCCAGGGCCTCATGCCTGCAAGGCAAGCGCTCTACCACTGAGCCACCTTCCCAGCCCAGGGTTAAGAGTCATGGACTTTCATTCCTGGGCTGGCTTTGATCCTCAGATCTCCTGAGTAGCTAGGATGACAGGCATGAGCCACTGGCACCCGGGTCACTCATTACTTCTTGGAGCACCTTTGTGAGTAAGGAGAGTATGATGACTACTGGCCATCTTACCAAAGACAGCCAGTATGGGCCAGGTGCTATGCGCTTGCGTGTGGAGAATGACTTCTCAGTTCTCACTTATGGAAAGAGGCAGTGGTCTGTTACCTCGGCTGTCATGAAAGCACCCACGGTGTTCACGGTGCTACGCCAGCTGCTCGCACGGCCAGACCCTTCGCAGAGGATGCACCCCTGGGGGTAGCAAGGGTGTCCTGGCTACAGTAACACACTTGGCCAGGAGCTACTTTGCTTCTTTTTCTTTCATAATGTCATTGTAAAAAGCAAAGGAAACATTAGCTTTCTCTATAAAGCTGGCAGCTCTCTACGAATACCCGTATGTCCAGAAGGAAGCTTTGTCATGAATGAAGACAGCTGCTCACTGCTCCCCGACCGGCAGGAGCCAGGCCCCAGTGGCTGCGTCACTTACAGCTCAATCTGAAGTTTCTCAGGTCATGAGTACACCTATCACCTTAGTTTTTTTCTTTTTTTCCAGTCATGGACCTGAACTCTGGGTCTGGCCGCTGTCCCTCAGCTCTCCAGCTCAAGGCGAGCGCTCTACCGCTTGAACCACAGCGCCACTTCCGGCTTTTTCTGTTTATGTGGTGCTGAGGAATCGAACCCAGAGCCTCATGCAGGCAAGGCAAGCGCTCTACCACTGAGCCACCTTCCCAGCCCTTTTTTTTAAATTTAAAAAGAACATTCCAGGCATTTCAAACGAAGCACCAACTTTTGACAATACCTTTATTTTCTCTGTAAACTGTGACTTTAAAAAAGATTAACGTACCATTAAGGCCCAAATTCCATTCACTCGTAAAGCAGGATTTTCACTCTGGGTTAATCCACAAAGTAGTTCCACAGCTCCCGATTCTAGAATTGGCTACAGTTGACAAAAGAGAAGAAACACAGACCACAGCTCTCAAATCAGATTGGCAAGCTAATGTGTCTACGCACCAGCAGCTGCACGGGGCTTCTCTTCATACACACGCAGCCGGGGCCGTGGTGCTGTAAGTCACTCTGAGGAAGGCAAGGAGACATTGTCCTCTCCCAAATTACGACAATGAACATGTGTCACTTCCTTTCTTTTTGGGGGGTCTGGGGATATCTCCATTACCTGCTCGTTTCATACCCACATCTGCCCCCTGTCATTCCCCATCTCTAGGTCCTTGCTCCTCTCAAGCTCCCCAACCTCTGTCCCCGCACGCCCCTCATTTGCGGTGCACTAACCGTAGCCATAGCTGAGGCGTGTCTCATGACGCGTCCCTGAGCACTATTCCTAAGAACCATGGTTTTCTAGTCATGCGCGCATACTTGGCACACTTCTGGCCATTTCTGACAACTTCGGGCCATAGGCTAGAGGATTAAGGTTTGCCATCACCTATAAATGCTGAAAAGGCCACATGACAAGATGGATTCTAGAAACATCTTAGCCAATCAAAAGGCAGTCCCTTTCCAGATGGCCTTTTAAAAGTGGTCCTCATCCTACTACATGGAACATGGACGAGTTGTGGTGTTTGTAACTGCCACGATTGTTCTATCAGCTCTCATTCCGTGTGTCCACACCATCCATCATACCCCATCATTCAGATAAAGCCCCCCTCTCCCTAAGTACAGGATGCCAGCATGGAGATCACAGCATAGTTGCTAACGTCAAGGAAATCAGCATCACATTAAAACAGCACTTTTTATAGCCCTGATTCCAATTCTATCAATTGGTCCAACAGTGTTTCTGTAGCATTTCCCTTCCAACTCAAGATCGGGTTTATTCCTTTTTTTTTTTTTGGTTGGTCATGGGGCTTGAACTCTGGGCTTGGGCGCTGTCCCTCAGCTCTTCAGCTCAAGGCGAGCGCTCTACCACTTGAGCCACAGCGCCACTTTCGGTTTTCTAGTAGTTTATTGGAGATAAGAGTCTCATGGACTTTCCTGCCCGGGCTGGCTTTGAACGGTCCTCAGATCTCAGCTAGGATTATAGGCGTGAGCCACTGGCGCCCAGATGGGTTTATTCTTAAATGTTAAAAAAAAAACAACAACTCATATTAGTGATCTCTCGCTTGAATCTGTCCACCTTGTTTCCTAAGCAGGTAAGATCTCAGGTAAGCTGAGAGTCATTCAAGATCACTGATGGGGTGGCAGAGTATATGCAGACCAGGAACAGGCCAAGACCCCACTGAAGGGCAGAAGGCTGTGTCCTCTCCTACTTTTCTCCTTCAAAGACCTTGCTGGGCAAGACCTCTAACCACTTGAGCTATGCCCCAGCCTTTTTGCTTTTATTTTGTTTTTGAGACCGAGTCTCATTAACTTTGCCCAGGCTGGCTTCAAGCTTGAGATCCTCTCTGCTTCCTCCTCTGAGTGGCTGAGGTAAGTGTACTCTACCGTGCCTGGCTTTAGGTAATTATTTCTTTCTTTTTTTTTTGGTTAGGTCGTGGGGCCTGAACTCTGGGCCTGGGCGCTGTCCCTCAGCTCTTCAGCTCAAGGCTAGCACTCTACCACTTGAACCACAGCACCACTTCCGGCTTTTTTCTTTTTGCTTATGTGGTGCTGAGGAATTGAACCCAGGGGCTCAGGCATGCAAGGCAAGCGCTCTACCACTGAGCCACCTTCCCAGCCCTGGATTAACTTTAAACTGTAATGTCTTAAGTCTTATTTTACTGAAGCAGGGTCTTGCTAGCCCTTACAAGCTGGCCTCCAATTCCTAGGTTCAAAGGGATCCTCCTGTTTCAGCCTCCTGAGTAGCTAGGACTACAGGCACATGCTACTGTGCTTGGCTTTGTAACAGCTTTTAAATATGTCAGGAAACAGTTAACATTATTTTTATATAAATAACTTATTTCTACCCTCCCCCCACATAGAGCAATTCTTAAAGCCAACCCATAAATTTGAGGAAAAAAAAAGAGAAAGCATTTGACTAAGCTCTAGCAAGACAAGGCAATGTGTGCCAGGTAGAGAAAATCAGAACTAACCTCTTTGCTTGGAGAAAACTCGAGAAGAAGATTACATAACATAGAAGATGCTACTACTAGGATTTCATCTGGTGCATTCTGTAAAACCTATGGAATAAAAACATTCATTGTTTGGAATCCTGGACATGACTAAATAAAGAAAATTACCTAACCATACAACACGTAAGAGCCACACTAAAATTCACAAGTCGACATCCAATATGGACCAAATAGGATCTCATCAAAATAGGAGCAAAAAAAAAAAAAAAAAAAGTCATAAAAAATTTTACTGAAAATCAAATGTCTATTCCTATGGTTTGCCAGTAATTTGAAAGAAACAAAAGGGAAATAGCAAGGAGATTATGTAAACTGCCTCTGAACTATGAGAAATCAATTATCTAAAGCAAGCCATTGGGTCTGGAAGATAGCTTTTTTTTTTTTTTTTTGGTTGGTTGTGGGGCCTGAACTCTGGGCCTGGGTGCTGTCCCTCAGCTCTTCAGTTCAAGGCAAGGACTCTACCACTTGAGCCACAGCGCCACTTCTGGCTTTTTCTGCTTATATGGTGTTGAGGAATTGAACCCTGGCCTCGTGCATGTGAGGCAAACGCTCTACCACTAAACTACCTTCTCAGCCCCGGAAGATAGCTTTTAATAACCCCTTTATTATATGTGCATGGACACATCCCTGAAAGCTAGATAGAAATTGTGTTACTCCATTCTGAGTTTAGTATAGCTGAGCCATCAGAGAAAAGGGCTCTACATATAAAATAAAAAAAAAAATCTTGGATAGAAACCAACAAATCAAGACCAAGTTGCTTTGAAAAAGATGTAAGTAGGGCTGGGAAGGTGGCTTGGTGCTAGAGTGCTTGCCTTGCATGCATGAGGTCCTGGGTTCGATTCCTCAGCACCACATAAGCAGAAGAAGCTGGAAGTGGCGCTGTGGCTCAAGTGGTAGTGTGCTAACCTTGAGCTGAAGAGCTGAGGGACAGTGCCTGGGGCCCAGAGGTCAAGCCCCAGGACTGACCAAAAAGAAAAAAAAAAAAAGAGAAAAAGACACAAGCTAGAAACAACCAACTGTGGGAAAATGAAAGAAAGCCTTGATCAACTTAGGCAAAGCCTTTGAAATCTTGGGGGAGAGCCAAACCTAGCCCAGAGGCTTCCGGTAAGAGATCGTGGATCTGAAATGGGTGAGCAGCTGTCTTCCCAGCGAGGGAAGGCACTGGTGCTACAGCTGGAGCGTGGATAAACCACCTTTCTGAACTCATCAAGAGGAAACATTCAGGAAAGACAAGGCCAGCAGGAAGTGAAGGCGTGATTGGTCCAAAGGGCTGATGTGTGCCCTACACAGTAAGGGAGTGCCACTAGATGGAAACAGTTTGACTCACGTCACCCGGTGCTTACGTAGGATTGAGTACGGCTGATGCGACTCACATACCCATATCAAGACATCCTTTCAAACCCTTCTGGTGTCCCGATAGCTCCTGACTGGAAAATCACATACGCAGTCCACCAGTCTCCTTTAGCCAGAACAGCTCTAGGATTTAGTGCTTGTTTTCTCTCCCTCCTCCTTCCTTTCTCTTTCTGCCAGCTGTAGGGCTTGAACTCAGGGCCTGGGTGCTGTCCCTTAGCAATTTTAACTCAAAGCTAGTGCTCCACTACTTTTGAGCCACAGCGCCACTTCCAGCTTTCTGGTAGTTAGATAAGAGTTTCATGGACTTTCCTGCCCTGGCTGGGTTTGAACCACAATCCTCAGATCTGTCTCTTGAGTAGCTAGGATGACAGGTGTGAGTCACCAGCGCCCACCAGTAGTGTCCCACAGCCTATGGCACTGGTCCAACTCTTCCACCTGATTCTAATACCCCTCCCTCCCCCTTTGCTGGCATGATTCATCACACCCCGCCCCTCCTGGTATCCCTTCCAGTTGCCCACACGGAACCGTATGTGATGTTTCTGCGCGTGCAGAAACAATTGCCTGATCCTTCCTTTTGCCTTTGAGGTCTCCGGCACACCCCCCTCCCCCCATGCCTCAAGCCTTTCCTGTCAGTGCTATACTTGATGCTCCTAACACTAGCCCGAAGCTTGAAGTGAGAACTAGAGCCCCGCAGAAAAAGGTTTTGGTAGTCTACTGTGCCAGGAAGCTTTGCTGATTGGTGTTTAAAAAAAAATTTTTTCTCTTTTCTTCGAATTGGAAATTACAAGGATAGCTCTAGAGCTAAGGTTCAAGAGGATTACTAACACCCTGGGAGATGAGGGACTAAGGCTTTTTGTTAATACAGAAATCCAGCATTTCTCTCTCACGCAAGGCTCCGTCCTCAGAAACTGCAGGGAGACTGACAGAGGCTCAGAACCATCAGCTTCAAGGAAACACGTTCACAGCGCCCTGGGTACTCCTGGGCTCAGCCTTGAGGACTCCTTTGTTGTTGTTGTTGGCCACGGGGCTTGAACTAATGTCCCTGAGCTCTTTTTGTTCACCGATAGTGCCCTATCACTTCGAATCACAGCTCCACTTCTGGTTTTCTGGTGGTTCATTGGAGGTTAAGAGTCTCACGGACTTTCCTGCCCGGGCTGGCTTCAATCCTCAAGATCTTAGCCTCCTGAGTGGCTAGGATTGCAGGCGTGAGCTACCAGTGCCCGGCTCAAGGAGGAGTCCTCCTTACCTTCATTAAAGGTTTCCACACCGCGTGATCCTGGAAACTGGTTCTAAGTTGCTGTACAGATCTGGATAAACTGTGCAAACATCTACAAAGAATAACCTGAAATTAGCTTTACCAGGAAGCCCAAACTCCCCTTTCAAATACATTGCTTGGCTTTTCACTTATCACTAACATCCACTGCTAATACATCTATGGAAGCCTAAGTCCGCTACCATAAAGACCCTTCCCGCGTGCTGGATGCTAGGTTCTCTGGTAGGGAATAGCACACAGTGCATGAATTCACCTGAGCCTATGTTCCAGGGTAATACTTGCATTGTGCACTTATTACTCGGCAAAGGACTGGAGAAGGAAATGGGTTAAACACAACGGGCAAAAAGAGTTGGCTTGAGGCCACAGAGAGCTCATACCTGACAGCAGCTAAGCGCACCTTGACACTAGACTCAGACAAGCCAGTCACAATTCGGTCCATCATATTTTCAGTCTCAATGATCTGGAGAAAAAGGTTAATGCTGCATAAATAACAACACGCAGGTGACAGAACATAGCTGCTTGTAAATACAAGTAGGTTAAGGTCCATTACACGTTTCAAGTAGGTTTGAGCAAAGGAGTTTTTGTCGTCATTTTTTTTTGACCTCTCAATCAATCTCCTGCAGGGGGGAGGAGGGGAGAGGCAACTCATCAGAAAGGCAGGACCAACCCAGGCACAACGACCCAGGCTGAGTTTGACAGATGGAAGAGGAGAGCTATGTTTATTTTTTAAAGACATTTAAACCGGTATGAGAAGGCAGAGGTACTGAATAAACAATTGTGAATGGGGTTGGCAGGAGGTTATAAATAAACTTCCACTAGGGAGGGTTCAACCAGGGAGAATCTAGAAAGATCCACCATCCTGAGTCCTCAGGAAGTTAAGATCTGGGGGTTCATGAAGGTTCATGGCTACTTCTTACCAAGTGAACTAGAACGAAGTTAAACATTCTCAACAGTTCCCCTTCTACCCCCTCCCTTTCAGTGATGGCACCCAGGCCACCCAAAACTAGGAGGCTCCAGAGTCAAAGGTCAGATCAAGGAGTATGCTTTGGTAGGTTCCAAACACTTGGCGGCCTCAGCAGGTGTCTACTGACCATTTCTTCTTTTCCCTCTGACTTGGGAAGGCTCGTTATGAGTGCTAAGTTGTAAAGCTATGTCTCTTTTTCGTTTATTTTTCAGACAGGGTTTGTTTTTTTTTTACTGAGACCTGCCTCTACATGGATTACTGAGATTACAAGCATGCACCACCATGCCTCGCCTCAAGACTTTGAATCATTTTGTTCTTTGTCTCCCCTCTCTACACGCCTCCCTTCCCTCCCAACAGGGTGCCTGGGTGACGAGACGCATGTATTGAGTTCCTCTTTACATACATGGAGAGTCGCTAGCGAGTTTGGCAAAGGGCCTACTGAAGACGGGACCATCTAGGGTGTGGGAAGGGCCGCAGTGGGGTCCTCCTTTCCTGTGTGTGTTCCTTCATTTTCTTGACTCAGTCTTTCATTCTTCAAGTGCTTATTCAGAATCAGCTGTGCACAGGCCGTGTTGTAGGTGGGAGTCGTACAGTCAATGAGCAAAACGGCAAAGCCCCTGCCCTCCTGGAGCTTACATTCTAGGACCCGCAACGTACGCTAGGCTGGAAGGAGGCTTCAAATGGAAGAGAGTTGTCTCAAAGGCTGTCAGTCAGATGCTGAGAGGAGCAAAGGGGAAAGTGCTTTCCTTGCACATTTGCAATGCGTTTATTTTTATCAACAGGAAAAGCATCCTGGTTCCTTTATTAAATGTTTACTTTTTGTTTGTTTGCTTTGCTGGTCCTGGGGGCTTGAACTCAGGACCTGTGCACTTTATCAAGGCTGGCACTCTACCACTTGACCCATACCTCCACTTCCAGCTTTTTGTTGGTTTTAACAGAGATAAGAATCTCATGGACTTCCCTGCTTTGAACTCAGATCTCAACCCAAGTAGCTGGGACTACAGGCGTGAGCCACCAGTGCCAGGCTCTTACATTTTAATTCATACTACTGCCAGTTTTCTTCAACTTATACTTTGTGACAAGTTCTACTTGTTCCTTAGAATGAGTAAAAGAGAACTGTTTTTCAGTTTATGCTGCAGATCACAATCTAATGGATGATCACTAGGCATTGATCAAGTATCGGTCAGCATAATAGTAGTACTTTCTTACAAAAAAAGAACTGGTCTCAAAAACTACAGGACTGTTTGCTATGGCAATACTTGAACTTGACCCTAACATGTGGTCAGGATTATTATTAGAAACTACACCTGCTGTGGCAGAGAGGAGCGCTGATGTTCACTGGGCAGTGTGGTCAGTGCAGTTACTGCTAATCTGCTCATTTCCTGCCACAATCCTACGAGAATCCAGGCCAGTTATTACAGGCAATCTGAGTTCTTCTGAAGTTAACACACAGGCTACAACTGCTGCTGGGCTCAGTGACACCCTTGCCCCCTTCCTCCCCCCCACCCCCATCTTCTCTTGGGCTTCTTCTCCCTCTTCAGGTCACAAGAACAACTTGGCAGCACCGCCCTCCTGGGCTTGTGTGTGACCAAGACCCCTCTCAGGAAGTTAAGAAATGTCCATACAGGCCACAGAGGCTGATTACGGATGCAAGGCTGGGAATTACATGGGATACAGAAAAGTCCAGGCCCATTTAAGTTAATATCCCTCTGTATGACTGCTCGGTTTTCATTTCCATACTTATTCATAGAAATGAGTTTATCTTGAGCGTTTCTTAGGAACAGCTGATTTGTTTTAATGAGAATATACCAACAATGTCCCAAAGCAAGGATGGTCTTTGGTCTAGAGGTCAGATTCAGCCGAAGGCTGAATCTTGCAGCCCAACTGCAAGCCTTGAGAATAATCTGTTAGAAGCCAGGCATGGTGGCACATGCTTGTAGTTCCAGATACTTAGAAGGCTAAGGCAAGGGGATCACTCGAGTCCATGTGCTCAGGGTTAGTTTGGACAACTGAGATCCCCTTCTCAAAAATCAAGAACAAGACAATAAACAAATAAATTAAAAGTCTAAAGAAAAAGAAATCTCTTATAGTGCTGAAATAGAGACTTCCAGGGCAAGGTTAGCTCTTTCACATGGTGTGTATTTTCTCCACTCTTGGTTTTTCTATTTATTCCTTCTCCTTTCCCCTCCTAGCCACAAGAGGGCACTTTAGCTTCTCTAGTAATAATTCAGTTCCCATTTTCTGCACCTTAAAAATGATACCAAGTGAACATTTCTTTTTCTTTTTTTTTACTGAAACAAACAAAAAAAAATCCTTCATTACTTGGGGAGGAGGAGAAGAGACAGGAAAATCTACAGTGGTTAAAATGGCTTTCAGAGATCATGAACTCAGTGAACTAAAATTCCATTTTGACAAGCATACATTAAAAAAAAAAAGGAAACACTGTAAGAAACTACACACAAAAAGGAATATAATCAAAGTTTATAAGGCGTAAGTATAAAGGTGAACTATTGCATTGATAAAATTAAAAGCGATCCAAATGATTATCTTAACAAGAGATAAAAACTAAAGGCATTCAAAGGAAAAGGAATCACTTCTTATACAGAGAAAATAAGGATTTTCCACTTCTAAGCACAGACTTCAAGTAACTTTTAACACAAAATGATGTTTCTCCCATTATAAGTTCTCTCACTGGTAGGTACTTGGAACGATAAATGATTCAAATAATTTCCCAGAAATTAAAAGATTTCCTAAAAGCCCAACAGAATGCCCAGCATGTAAGAACATCACAGTGTCTTGACCACACACAAACTATCATCAATAAGGATAACTTAGTCTTTATTTGCCATCTTTCAACAGCAATGATCAATAGTGACCCTTACCAGGCAACTGTACAGATTAGGAACACAAATGTTAATAAGACTGCCCATTAGACGGTTCGGTTGCAAGTATTTCTGCAACATGATACCACAAATTAAGCCATGAGTTCCAAAACAATAGTTTATTGACAAAGAGTACAAAGAGGTACAAGTGTGCATCCTATTCCCCCCGTTCTGATTTGTCTCTCTTCCTCCCTTCCAGTTCATACCACACCTGGCCTTACAGCACCAAGAGCAGGTGAAAGTCCACTCCTGTCTCTGGAGGGCCTTCGTAACCACCAGGACCCAAGCCAACGTGCACGTAAGGGATACACTCCAGGACAGCCTCAGTTATGACTGAGTTCCTTCTCCCGTACCACACACCTCAAGTGAACGGGCAGAGCAGGGGCCACAACCTCCTCTCAGCTTTAGATATACAGGCAATAGTGCATGCCTAGCATCTCTGCCTCCAAGTAACGGTTTGTAAGTGAAACCTTTTAGAGGTGTCAAAGATCATTTTTAGCGGTAATGTGGTAATGCTCCCTAAAAAGGGAAAAAGAAACAAAAGAAACTTGCTAGCTGCGCTAGGCTGAGGCGCGGGGAGAACACTCGCAGGTGAGCTGTGCTTTTCTGCACTGATTTCAAGTCAGCAACTGATGCGTCTGACCTTATTGCTATTCTCCCATGACTTCAAAGATGGTTTACCTCCGACTGATTTCAACAAACAACGTTGTTCTACATGTCCCTTTCCAATGGGCATGAGGAACTTCTTTGAATGATGGGAGGTACAAACACCGTGTGGCTATTGGTTTTGCTTTTTTGTTGTTGCTGTTGTTGTTTTTGGTTGGTCGTGCAGCTTGAACCCTAGGCCTGGGTGCTGTCCCTCAGTTCTTCAGCTCAAGGCGAGCACTCTACTACTGAGCCACACAGCACGACTTCCGGTTTTCTGGTGGTTCATTGGAGGTAAGAGTCTCATGGACTTTCCTGCCCAGGCTGGCTTTAAACTATGATCCTCAGATCTCAGCCTCCTGACTAGCTAGGATTACAGGTGTGAGCCACCGGTGCCCGCTATGTGGCTATTGTTAAAAAAAAACAAAAACACTGGGGTAGAGATGATGGGGAGAGTCAGGAAACAGTGGTGTCAGCAGATACTGTCACCTGCTGTGTGGCTTTGCTCCCTGGAGATTAGGACGGGCTTGAGCAGCCTGTAAGGACATGTTTTGAGAGGTAACCTCCAGCAACTTTTGGTTTGTGGAAGGAGCCAGGCAGAACGTTATCACTACTCTACTTCCTGCCTAGTTCTTTTCTAATAAAGAAAGAATTACGAGTTTAGTGTTGGACTAGCCTGGTGGCACAAGGATCCTACATCAGTGACACATTTGTGGAGAACTGGAAAATTCAGATGACCACTCACTAAACATAAAACCATCATTCCACAAAGATTTTATTCACATTCAACTTGCACAGTAGCAAAAAAAAAAACAAAAACAACCCCCCCAAACAAAAAAAGAAACCCCAAACATAAAAACTAAGCCACATATCAGAGAACAATATACAATAAGAGATTTGAACTTCTCCATGGCATTGGAAGGAAATTTCCATAAATAACATTTACAATTCTAAGTGTTAGATCTTTTCAAAGTGTCTGAAGCTTCACAGTGCTAGAAGTGATTCTTATCAGAACACATGCAAGAATGTGCAACACAATAATCCATATTAATGACACACACACACACACACACACACATACTCACACACACGCACACACAAAAGCAGGCCGGTTATTTGTCATTCCAGCATGACCATGAAACTCTAGGCTCTCACAACAAACGCCCACCCCCCCCCCACCCCCCCAGATCCAGGCCCCACTCCTTCTTCACTTATGCCTTTGTCACTGCTTTATTCTAGTCACAGTCGCTGTTAGTGCTCTTCGGGACTCTCAGGGTGGCGCCACGCCCTGCCTGCCGGCTGTCAGGACTGGGGGACGCCCTTCTCCCACACTCACCTTCTTCCGGATGTCCTCGTCGTTGGCGCCCAGGGAGGCGTAGAGCTTGAAGGCCGCCTGGCGGAGCTCGTGAGCGTGCTTTAGGTCGTGATCCAGCTACAGGAGAGAAAAGAACATTCAGTCCAACTCTGCCTGCGACTCGCATTCTCAATCAAAATGACCGACCAACTATGGAACGAACGTGTGGAGGGTGATCAGTTAGCTCTGGGTTCTATCACACATGCCTGAGGCCACACGTGGCTTGCATCGGCAGGATGCGCCCTGGCAGCCCGCATCTCACAGGGAACCCCCAAACTGACACTAGAATAAGAGAACGCCCTTCTAAATGTCTGCCCCGCAAATCTCCGTGTTCCCAGGGGTAGTTATAGGAACAGGGATGCTTGCTCCTCACACCACATGAAATGGGGCAACAGAAAAGGAGGTACGCGTGGGCTTCACAAGTGCTAATGGCCATGCTGAAGTGGGTGCTGGCAATCAGATTTTTAGAGGACTTTCCAAACGGGGAGAGAAATGTTGGCCTGATTTCAGCAGCATTTTAAAAAGTTTTAGAAACAGAAACTCTTTGTGAAAACTTACAAAACAATACACCACAATATGGGCTGGGAAGGTGGCTCAGTGGTAGAGTGCTTGCCTAGCATGCATGAAACCCTGGGTTCCATTCCTTAGTACCATATAAACACAAAAGGCTGGAACTGGTGCTGGCTCAAGCGGTAGAGTGCTAGCCTTGAGCCAAAAAAGAAGCTCGGGAACAGTGCCCAGGCCCTGAGTTCAAGCCCCAGGACTGGCCAAAAAAAAAAGAAGAAAAAAAATATATATATACGTATAGATTTACATATAGATAGATAGATCACAATACATTAGTTATATATTAGCTGTAGTTACTATTACAGTTATCTGAGATTTATGTTCAAGCTGCTTTTGTGTTGAGAACATTACTAAAATGATCAGCTGACATGAGCCATTAGATGCTATCTAAACACATGGATGGTCAAACTTGACAGTCTTTCCAAACACCTGCTGCTTCAACAAACTACCACAGAAGGGATGTCCAAGCATACTCTCAGAATACTTTATTTATTTGTCAGTTGTGGGGTTTGAACTCTGGGCCTGGGCACTGTCCCTCAGCTCTTCAGCTCAAGGCAAGCACTCTACTAATTGAGCCACAGTGCCACTTCCAGCTTTTCTGTTTATGTGGTGCTGAGGAATCGAACCTGGGGCCTTTATTGCATGCAAGGCAAACACTCTACCACTGAGCCAACTTCCCAGCCCTCTCAAAATACTTTTAATCCTAACGAGCCAGTCATCAGTATAATACTGATATGAATAATTTAAAATGGGGCTGAGTTCAGGGTTTGGGCTCTACCATTTGAGCCACATATCTACTTCCAACTTTTGGGGAGTTTAATGGGAGTTAAGGTTCTCAGACTTTCCTGCCTAGACTGGCAGATCTCAGCCTCCTGATAACAAGCGTGAGCACGTGGCTAGGAGTACACTCTTTCCAAAGGAGTTACCTTAGAAAAGTCCTGATAAACTCCAATGGTTTAGGTGCTGTTTAAACCATTTTGAGACACTCATTTCAAACTCCTGAGAGACTAACTGGCATACTGGCTCAAAACAACAACAAAAGCACTGTCAGTGATATAACGTTATCAACCAAGAGTTTTAAATTAACTGTCACTGATTAAAATGTGTTAAATCCAGTGAGTACTTATCATGTAGAGTAACAAAAACTCCATAAACTATCAAATAGAAAATAAAAACGAATTTGAAGTAGTTATGGAGACAATTTTTTTGGAGGGGTGGGGGGAACTGGTCATGGGGCTTAAACTCAGGGGCCTCCCTGAGCTCGTATGCTTAAAGCTAGCACACTATCACTTTAAGCCACAGCACCACTTCTGGTTTTCTGGCAGTTAACTGAAGGTAAGAGTCTCACAGATTTTCCTTTTGCTGACTTTGAACTGTGATCCTCAGATCTCAGCCTCCTGAGTAGCTAAGATTACAGCTGTCACTCACCAGCACCCAATACCTTTAAGACAATTCTTAAAGGTAATTCCAAAAGTGTCTTCTGATGGATTATGGAAGGAGCCTTGGAATATACCAATAGGTCCTTTTATTTTTTATAAGTTCTAAAGGATCTGCCTTTAAATAAAGTCTTAACTACATTCTAGCAGCAATATGGAGTCATTTGGCAGTACAGGGAACTGAACTTAGGGCAGGAAGAAACCTCTGGACAATCTGCCACCAAAATTAAAGATGACAAAACAAAACCAACTATTGTTTAGCATCAGGAGGTCATTTTTTTTTTAAGCATGTTACTGTAAAGGAAATGAAAGGGAAAGACTCCGTTCACAGCAGAGCTCATCTATCCTCCGCCAAACAGCCTGCACATGAAGACACATCAGATGTTCTTGGTCTGGGGGTCAGCCAATAGGGTGCAACAGGAAGCCTCAGTCAGCACTCGGTTGCATATCCATGCACACTGTAAACAAATAGCCTGAGGGAAGCAGACTAGTCCACTGGTTCAGGATAGTGCAGCCCTTATCCCGGGAAAGAAGACCTTGAGGAAGAGCAGACCTGTAACTTGAAGACAGGGCGGTGGACATGACTAATGCTAAAGGTTATTTCAGGCCCTTACTGAGACAGAGAAAGGACATATGTGAATCGTGTATTTTCAACACTGCAGTCCTGCTGGGTGAGATGTTTTCAAATTCATACCATGGAGAGGTCATGACAGCAATTACACTGGGACCAAAGGAAATTCCAAAACAGCAGTGGCTACTCATTAGGAGGCAGTACCCTCTCTGCGATGACCTTCTTAAGCACTGTTTCTAACAGAATCTCCCACTCTTACAGAAACGGACAGAGCAGAACTGGCTGAGAAGCAACAAATCAGAGGAATACCTTTCAATTCTAGACAACTTCTATTTCAGAACAAGCTGGCGTGACTGGATCCTTCACAGTCCCAAGCTAGAGGTCAAATGGCGCTTTTGTCATTCACCTCTGGCAGGCCTAAAGCACTGTGTGAGCAGAGAGAGGGAAGGTGGGAAGGGGTGGCAGGAAAGACGGAGGGCGGAGGGTAAGACGAGGCCACTCAGTTCACAGTACAAAAGATCACCCTTGACCAAAAGGCAGAGAATGAAGCCGCAGAGCTGATTCTGGGCCATCGTCGGAGTCTGTGCGCAGTGGAGACTCTGCTATTTCAGAGCCTTATTTGTAGGCTAGGAATACAAGTTTCCTTGTCCTGTTAATGTGCTTCCTAAAAACTTTCCTGACAGGAAATGGCAAAAACCACAAAGCAGTATCATCTCTGTGAACAAGGCTAAAAAGACTGCTTTATTCAGACAGGCTAGCCGGGCACCGGTGGCTCACGCCTGTCATCCTAGCTACATAGGAGGCTGAGATCTGAGGATCACAGTTCGAAGCCAGCCGCAGCAAAGGCAATCCATGAGCCTCTAATCTCCAATTAATCATAAAAAAAGATGGAAGTGATGTTGTGGCTCAAGTGGTAGAATGCTAGCCTTGAGCTGAAGAGCTCACTGACAGTGCCCAGGCCCAGAGTTCAAGCCCCCGGATCGGCAAAAAAAAAAAAAAAAAAGTGGGGGGGAGTGAGGGTGGGTTTGAGCTATAACTAGAAACTGTTAAAAAGTGAGAGCAGTATGGAAAAGTAGAATCCCCCGTCGTGGCTGCTGAACAGGAAAGAGAACACACCCGTTTAATGTCGGTGATGGCACTCACGGAGCTGGGGTACTTGAAGTAGTCGGCCAGCATGGCAATGAGGTGGTCAGTTATGCTGGCGATCCTCTGCAGTTCTACGTCGGGCTCAATCAGATAGGCCAGTGTCTCCGCTCCCTCCACCCTCTCCTCCAATAGTCTTTCCTTACTGCACATTCGAACCAAACAAGGCAATGTCTGAAATACAGGCAGAGAGCAATGGTTGGCTTTTGAGGAAAGGCAAAAGTTTGATCAAGAGCACGTAGAAACTTCACTGACTCAATGGAGTCATGTGAGATCAAGTATTTCCTCTATTGGCTTTCAGAGAATAAAAGGTTCTCTTCAATGCAAAAACAAACAAAATGCAGTGTATAGGTTAATCGCCGATGTGTGCTGGTACAGGGAAACTGCATCTACAAGGTATATTAACAGAAACTCTGCTTACAAGTGAGCAGAGCCAGGCACCGGTGGCTCACACCTGTCATCCTAGCTACTCAGGAAGCTGAGTAGGAAGGAAAGCCAGCTAGCAGGAAGGAAAATCCAGTAAAATCTGTGAGACTTTTTTTTTTTTTTTGCCAGTCATGGGGCTTGACTGACCTCTGGGCCTGGGCACTGTCCCTTAGCTCTTCAGCTCAAGGTGAGCGCTCTACCACTTGAGCCACAGCACCACTTCAGGCTTTTTCTGTTTATGTGGTGCTGAGGAATCGAACCCAGGGCCTCATGCATGTGAGGCAAGCACTCGACCACTGAGCCACCTTCCCAGCCCTGATTTCGTGGGTTTAAAGTGAATGAATGAATTAGCTTACCTTCAGTACAATGCAGCTGTCATCAGTCCGAATTGCTCCAGCTCTGCACATGTAAGTTAAACTGGAATAAAATGACAGAGTAAGTCTTTACTTCAGGTTTAAAACTTTTCTTTTAGAAAAATGTTTTGTCTTTTAAGATTTTGTGAAAATAACAAGTAGTGTCATTTATTTGGAGGGAAAAGGCTTTGCCATTCCCTCATCTGAGGTTCGGTCAGCTCAGTAATAAAACTAGAAAAGATTCAGAAACAGTATGCCAGAGATGTATATTAAATATTATAAATATAAATATATACAGTACATGTATATTTTTATATTTTATGTAAATTTAAATACATACATTATCAGTAGTGGGGCTTGAACTCAGGCTTGGACATTGTACCTGAGCTTTTCTGCTCAAGGCTAGCACTCTACCATGTTTAGCCACATTGCCACTTCTGTGTTGGGAGTGGTTAAGCCTCTCATGAACTGCCTGGTCTGGCTTTGAACCATGATCCTGTTATCAGCCCCCTGCATAGCTAGGATTACAGGCATGAGCCACCAGTGCGAGCATAAATACATATGTATATTTAATATCTACAAAATTGGGCTAGACCTGGTAATGCATGCTTGTAATCTAAGATACTCAAGAGGCAGGATTCCCAATTTTGGGCTAGCTCAGGCTACAGTGTTACCCTATCTTAAAAACAAACAGCCTAACAAACACATATATTTTGAAGCTAAGTGCTAAGCATGTGTTGACTTACTTTTTTTAGGGGAAGTAATTTTCTCTGTATGTTTTGTCATTGAATTTTCTATCATAAAAGGGAAGAAATGTTAAAAATAAAATATGAGATTAACAAAGCGTCTCAGTTTAAGTGGGATATTCTAACTCCAGCAGCAGAAGACAATCACAGAAGAGAAAGCTTGTATTTGATTAAACACAGTGATCCATCAGAAATTAGCTATTTGAACGTTACCAGTCACAGCTTTAGAGATAAAGTAAATGAACTGGTTCTCACTTTTCTTTTTTTTGTCGGCTGTGGGGCCTAAACTCTGGGTGTGGGTGCTGTCCCAAGCACTCTACTTGAGCTACAGCGCCACTTCCAGTTTTTTTCTGCTTATGTGGTGCTGAGGAATCAAACTCATGGCCTCATGCATGCAAGGCAAGTACTCTACCACTGAACCACTTTCCCAAGCCCCATATTTTTATTTTTGAAAATAAATTTACTTCTGAGTAAAAGATAAAAATAATTTGTAGAAAGATGAGTACTTCAGAAATTCAAATTAGTGTCACTTTTGTGTTCAAGTCCTTGGTAATGTGGGAGGAGGGGGAAGGATGGCTAACACATCCCCTGTTTGGGTTTTATAAAAAGCTAGAAACAATTCTATCATCTGTATTTGTCTTGTGTTGCTTACATTATCATACGGCTTGTTATTGTCATTTTAGCTACTGACAGGAAAACTTTACCTTGCTAATAATGAAGTGCTCATTTTGAGGTTGAGACAGAAACAGGAAACAGAAACATAATACAAATAACTGATCCAGAAGGCACCTGTGGTTCACAGACAAGCCCCCGTTCTCTTGAATATAAAACTCAATAGTTGAGTTAGCGGAGCGCTGTACCACAGGCGCTAGAGGTTCGTACGTCAGAATGTGTGCACATTGTGTACACATCAACTCCAGTTCCTAGATCTCTGGATTTTCCTGGCTTAGTGCTGAAAGAGGACACTGATTCTACATGATCGAATTCTGCATTCATGTGAACTGAGAGCCGAGGAAAGAGAGTAGCTGAGGCTATAATAAGGTATGGTCTGCCGTCTCAGCTATAAAGAGACTTCCTATACAGCACAGTACTGGTAATAAAGGAGTTCACAATGCCCTCACAGATGTGGGGGGCGGGACGGGGGGGGGGCCCACTGACAAAGGAGGCCGTTCCGCCGCACGGCTCTGACAGTTACCATTTGGCAGACGTGAGCTGCATCTCGATGGGCTTATCCCTCTGCAACATCTTCACAAAGATCTGCGGCAACAACTCTCCATCAACCAACACTGGAAATGACACGAACAGCAGCAATGAGGGCAACTCTCGACATGCACAAAGTGGGTGAGGTAAATCACGAAGGGGCCATGGAAAGTTCCAGCCTACCGTTTACCAGAGTCATCGATACCTGGGGGTTTTCAAAAGCTAACACGGAGAAGCATTTCAGTGCTTGCATTCGAACCTGTAAAGAACAGAAGGACAAACAGAAGGCAGGCTAACTTTAATTCTTCCAATATGACTTTAAGGTTAGAAGCTCAGCTCCTCTCTTGAAGAAATAATTACTTAATTCTGCTTAAAATACTGAGGATGGCTTGAGGGCACAGCTCCAGGCTAGAGTATTTAATGCCTTGTGTGTTTGAGGGCCTGGGTTCAATTGCTAATACTGGGGGAAAAAAATGAACTAAACTGAACGAAGGCTTGGGGAATCACAATACCCCCCGTGTATTTGAAAAGCAGAATAAGAGCCAAAATTAATGTTGAAGTATAAAACACTATCATATAAAATACGTTTCTTAAATTTTTACATATTTTTTTCTTTAGATTTTTAAATATCTTAATAGGCTTAATAGTAAGTGGCAAGCTCTCTCAAGTGGATGCTTCTATTTCTTCTAAACCCAAATCAGAAATGTGAAGGGAGGCAAATTAAAAGAAGAAAAAAAAAAAATGTACTGGGTGGAGAAGGGAAAAGCACACAGGGCGAGAGAGTGCTCCTACCGCTGTAGGCACACTATGGTCTGGGCTGGTGCCAGGGCCCAGTCTCTTGACTCACATGAGAGTACAAGGTGCCCAAGGGCCATGCTGTTTCCACCAAACCACCTTACCCTCACTTCTGAGGCGGAGTCTTCACATAACTGCAGGCTGCCTGCAGGCACCCGGAGGAGGAGAGGAGGGACCTGGGCATGAAGAAGACCCGCCCCTCACCTGACCAGTGCCCTGCAGCACTAGCAGGTGCCCAGAGGGGGAAGCAGACTCTGCTAATACAATGTGACTAGGGTGCAAACCTTCCCATGAGCTCCACCTTCCCAGCCTCTGAGTCTTAGGATGTGTGGTGGGAAGGAGGAGGGATGGAGGAGGAGCCCAGAAAAGCACAGAGGAGAGGGGAGCTCAGCAACTGCTCCCTGCTGTGCAAGTACTGCCAGGTTCTGGGTCACTACATGTGACCTTCCCTGCCAGCAGCTCCATTCCAGCTGGCTCCTCCCCATTCCTACCGGGGAGCCCTGGGAGTCACAAGGAGGAAGGCTGAGAGAACGTGAACTGGGTTCAATGTGAGCAAGAAACAAACCTGGCTTACTCTCTTTTCTGCCACATGGGCTTCTAACGGGGCAGAACAAGATCAGCCCAGAATTTGCTACCACGGATTGGATGGGCAACACTGAGCGGCCGGTGTTAAGTCAATGCCAGACAGTAAGTTGTGGGGCTGCAGAGAAGCCAGGAAAAAGAAAGAAAGAAGGAAATGTGCAGGCCGGGTGCTGTGGCTCATGCCTGTAATCCTAGTCAGGACGCTGAGATCTGAGGACTGCGGTTGAAAGCCAGGCCTGGCAGGAAAGTCTGTGAGACTCCTATCTCCAATGAACCACCAGAAAAGTACAAGTGGTGCTGTGGCTCAAAGTGATAGAGCGCTTGCCTTGAACAAAAAGAACTCAGGGGCAGTGCCCAGGCTCCGGGGGTTCCAGCCCCATGACTGACAAAAACTAACACCCCAAAACCCCTAGTGATGTGCAGACTTTGATCTTCAGTCAAAATATGAAACAACACATTGTTCAATGCAGATGTATGCTGCAAGTTTAAGTTGCTGTGGCCCCATAAATGTTTGCGTCTTCACTGCTCCAGGCAGCCGCAGCTTCTAGTACATTCTACAAAGTACCTGCTGAAGCAGAAGCTTCAGTACTGAAGCCGAAATCAAGGAGATATGAAAATACCATGCAACCAATGAAAAGCAACAGCAATGCAAAGAACAGCGTCTTGAGAAGATGGAGATGAAGGGGGGAGGCTGGGAAGGGATGTGAAGGGGAAACAAAGGAGGAGGCTGCAATGCTTGATAAGAAATGTACTCATTATCTTGCCCATGTAATTGTAACCCCTCTGTACAGTATGTTCACAATAAAAAATAAAGATTAAAAAAAAAAAGAAGATGGAAATGAAGGGGCACCTTTTAAAAAAAAACAACACACTCTCTAGGTGACCCAGCACTCTGTAACAGTTCCTCATAAAGCACTCCTGACCCACGTCCATCAGTGAAGTGGGACAACGTGGGGGCCTCTGTCTCTACAACCAAAACCAGGGGAGAAAAAAAAAAATCTGGCCATGAGTTTTGCCATCTTACCTTGTAGGAGAGTGAGGTGAGTAGGTGAGCAATGTTCTGAACTGCGCCGTGGTTAAATAAAATTGTTTGATGATCTGGCCCCTGTAAGAAGAAGGGAGAATACAACACGTTAACCAAAGCATGTTTCGTTCCATGAAGAAAAACTGCATTTATGACTGCATAGAGTTCTCTGTTACCCCTTGAAAAAGTCAACCCCAGAAGAGCAGAGTGGACCTTGTTTTAGTCCTGAAGGGGAGAGCAGGGCGCCGAGAAGCTAGTCCTCGGCAGTCACTGCACAGAGCCCCATTGGAGCCACAGAGTCGCTGTGAACTCGGCGCTTCATGGGCACAGCCCGGCCCTAGGCCTGGGAGACCAGACAGTGGTGCTACCGTTCTTCGAACTGGAGTCTGATGGGCTTCGTGAGAGAGATCACAAACCAACTGCGAGAGACCCTCACCAACCACACCACACCTGGACAGTTTCTGGCCTACAACACTCTGTAACTGTGATGGGAATGTGCTTCTTCTCACTTTTCCTTCGAAAATGGGTACTTCTTAGAATAGGAAGTTATGGAGATAGGAAAATAAAAATATTTTATTTTTCATCAACTATTCTGTACTCATCAATGTCACAACGATCTTCCAAGTGGCAGAAGTGAAGTGTTCATGTAAAGCTTTAATGGTGCCACAATTCTAATGTATTTTATGGCCAATCTCATTCAAGGCATCCATGAGAAGTCTACTGAAGCCAGGGCCGGGAAGATATCAAATGACTTTAATCAGAAGAGAACAAAACGTATTATGAAAAGGCAGGCTAGATATCTGGCCAGGAAACTCTGTTGAGACTCTTAGCTCCAATTAATCAGCAAAAAGAAGCTCCAAGTAGAGCTGTGGCTCAAGTGGTAGAGTGCCAGCCTTGAGCAAAAGAGCTCAGGATCGTGCCTAGGTCCTGAGTTCAAGACTGGCATACACACATAAAACGGTACCTACAATTGCACTTGTATATGTACTCTCATCTCCGGAAGAACACAGAAACAAGGCACGTATCTCAGAACAACATGTAAGATTTCCCATTATGGAGAACACTGGTATGGTTCTTACTTTGCAGCAGTGTGAGAAGATCTGACAGATGTACTCCTGGGTGTAGCGGGACCTGCTCAGCAGCGCCATGAGGTGTGGTATTACTGTGGCATCCTGTAGAGGAAGGGGTGGAGAGGACAGTAATGAGGAACTTAGGTACTGCGCATACACCCTTGGTAGGTATACTTCAACTCATATCTTATGGGCAGTCAAACAAGTCTGTTTAGGGGATGAGGTGAAAGGAAAGTAAGATGGCCATCTGCTCATGCAAAAACCAAGGGAAAGGGTTCAATATTCATCCTTGAAACCAATAAAAGCAAGTAATTCTCCCTTCCCATAATCAGCCTATGTTCTTACAATAAAGTACTATCACTGTAGGAAGACTCATCAGAATCAGTGCTGAAATGGAGGTGACTGCTATGATAGGGAAGGTAAGCAGCATATAAGGAAGAACTACTGTGTAGAAATAAAACGTGACAATTTTCATCTTGAGGTGCTTTGGTAAGTGCCAGTAATGACTACAATCTCTCACAATGACTGTAGCTGGCTACTTTCAATCTGCATTAGCCAAGATAATTTAGAGGATTAGTCCTTCTTACCTGAAGCCCCAAACCGGCCCACTGTTGACACAGGGTGGCCTAGGAAAAAGATCAAAACCTCCCCAAGGATCCCCTAGGAGTTTCCTTTTATTTACCCTACAGAAGAAAGGACAGGGCGAAAGGGAGTTTTAGCCGGAACCACAGATGGCAAAGGAGACTTGCAACCAGCATCCCAGACCACGCTTGTCCTCCACCCATGCAGACTCCCAGAAGCTGTTTAGCAAACCTTGCCCTGTGGTTTGAGAAAGGATCTAAGTCTGCATCCTAACTAGCTACAGAACAAGACTGATCCTTCTAGTCCAAAGGCCCTTACAGAAGACAAGAGGATGAGAAAAGCATGCCCCACGTATGCAAAAGCTACTGAGTGGCAAAGACAGAAGTCATCTCATCCCATGTGCCGTCATAAGCAGAGAGAAAGAAAAAAACTTAGGAAACCTCAAAAGTAAGTCAGGTAGTCAGTGCTCAGAAAGTAGAGAAGATCAAAGAGCAGTTCCTCCGGCAGAAAGCAGGAGGCAGGGACAACCACAGAGCAGGCAACTGAGAGGCGGGCAGAAGACTCCCAGCACCTCACCCCCTCCTGCTCCCCACAGCTCTCTCATGCGTCTGCACGCATTTCCACAGCTCCATCCCAGTTCACACACGCACCCTTCTCTGTCAACTGAGTTGAGGTATCCGCAGTTCACAGATGACTAAATAAGACTAAGAACAGTTACGTAACTGCCCAAAGTTACCCATCCAATAACCAGGACTTCAAACTACAAGTCCTGCCCATTTCTGACTAGACAGCCTCATTTCTAGTGACAGTCTACAGCTGGCCTGCGCACACTCTAACCCAGTCGCGAGCACTGGAACATGGCGGTTCTCAGGCCCATCCCACACCACCCAACCCTTGTTAGGATTCTCCAGTGTCTCCAGGGAGTAAAAAGTGACATGGCCTGTAATTTAGATGATCTCATCGTCTAAATTTACCCTCTCTGGGCTTTATTAATCTCATTTAAAAAAATAAAATGAAATAAAAGCCACACCCCAGTGGTTCACGCCTATCATCCTAGCTACCCAGGAGGCTAAGATCTGAGGATCGCAGTTCAAAGCCAGCCAGGGCAGGAAAGGCCATGAGACTCTTATTATCTCCAATAAACTACTCAGAAAACCGAAGTGGAGCCGGGCGCTGGTGGCTCACGCCTGTAATCCTACTACTCAGCTACTCAGTAATCAGCTACTCAGGAGGCTGAGATCTGAGGATCGCGGTTCAAAGCCAGCCCGGGCAGGAGAGACCGTGAGACTCCTATCTCCAATAAACCACCAGAAAACCGGAAGTGGCGCTGTGGCTCAAGTGGTAGAGCACTCGCCTTGAGCTGAAGAGCTGAGGGACAGCGCCCAGGCCCAGAGTTCAAACCCCGTGACCGACAAAAAAAAAGTTCAATTGGCCTAGATTAGAGTCTTCCAAGTTACGCACTACAACCCATTGGTAGGATAAGGATGGGTCTGGAGCAGTTAGAAAAAGCAAGTGAATGGTGACCGATGGCCGACGCACAGCGAGCTCACCGTATAGAGCAGCTCCTCGGGCGTGACGGGGCTGGTGAAGATGGTGCGGAGGCATCGGAGGCATGCTTCGATGAACTTCAGGTCTGGAGACAACAGTCCTGCGAGCAGAGCCGACGCGTGAGGCTCCCTCTCCCCGGGTGACACGCTACGACTCGACAAGCCCACTCTGACCTTTCTGCGGCTTCCCTTACCCACCTTGCAGTAAGGCAGGGATGATATGGCAGTCCAGGAGAGACTTGACGTTGTTCTCAGTGCCCATCGCGAGACTTCCTAACACCACCGCACATTCTGCCTTCAGCTCTGTGCTTGAAGCTTCTTGCTGAAGCAAATACAACAATCTACAAAGAAGGGGATTGGGAAAGAGATGAGAAAACCAGAGTTAATGCGATAAAGCAACACAAGATAGGAGACCTACATTACCTCCCCCAGGGGGGAAAACATGGCTGGCTGCACTCATCTGACCCTCGGTAGATAATCAGCTATTTCTACTATCTGGTCAGGCACCAGTGGCTCAAGGCTGTCATCCTAGCTACTCAGGAAGCTGAGATCTGAGGATCATGGTTCAACGCCCAGCCCAGTCAGACAAGTCCCCGTGTCCAATCAACCACTGAAAAACTGGAAGTGGACCTGTGGCTCAAAGTTGTAGAAAAAGCTCAGGGGCAGTGCCTAGGCCTTGCGGAGTTCAAGTCCCACAACTGACAAAAAAGAGAAGCATCTGAAAAGATCTAGGAGATCTTTTTTTTTTATTTTCAACAAAAGAGCTTAACAGGGTATGCACTTGAAGTCTGTGTACAGTGGTCTCGGTGGAAACAGTGCCACAGCCGCATTGCCTGCTTCTCCCTCCCCAGGGGAGTCGCTCAGAATGCAAAGACTCTCACTGCCAAGTTCTGTCGGGTCTTAACTTCAAAGTGGAAATGGAGCCTAAGTCCACACCGGTAGTGATGAGACTGCAGAGCTGAGGCCTCGAGAAGCTCTTCAGGCAAGGAAAGCTCTCTCTTCTAACTCTCCCGTGTAGGGAATGAGAAAAGCCTCCCATTTCCGCTCCAGTCCAGCTTATCAAATTAGTCCTACTCCCCAAATCTCAGCCCTCCACAACTTAGGACAAGTTCAGAGTAACACTCCAGCATTCTGACCTTACATGTGTGCACCATCCATGCATGTCTATATATAACATGTGAGCTTTTTGCATAGTTTGAAAGAAGACAGTTTTTCAATAGAGTACTTGTCCAGTATGTGACAGGGAGCCTGGCTTCTAGTCAAGTTTTATAGAGAGAATGATGGAAGGGAGACATGGATCAGAAAGCGTTGAACGCATAATTTGACATGTTGAATTGAAACCCTTTGTGCAACTATTTAAATATAATATAAAAATAAGTTTATTAAAGTATTAGAGATAGAACAGAATATTTAGCTGTCTATCCATCCACAGAATATCTATATAAAATAAATCTAAATCCTCAGAAAGGGGAGGAGGGTCAATAATATTCCTGAATTCCCAGAGTATTAACAGAATCATTTCTTTCTTTTTTTTGCCAGTCTTGGGACTTGAACTCAAGGGGCCTGGGCATTGCCCCGAGCTTCTTTCACTCAAGGCTAGCACTCTACTACTTGAACCAGAGCATCACTTCTGGCCTTCTCTGTGTATGTGGAGGAACCCAGGGCTTCATGCATGCTAGGCGAGCACTCTACCACTAAGCCACATTCCCAGCCCCATTCCTGAGCTTCATTTGCTCAAGTCTAGCACTCTACCATTTGAGTCACTTCTGGCTTTTTGGTGGTTAATTGGAGATAACAGTCTCATGGACGTTACTGCCCTGGCTAGCTTTGAACATCAATCTTCAGATCTCAGCCTCCTGAGCATCTGGGAATACAGGTATGAGCCACCTATACCCAGCCACAATCATTTCTCATTCTACTTGCTGGCATGTGTATGTACATATACAACACATATTATAACCATATGATATAGATAGGCTATATATACAGATTTCCTTAGAGATAATCCAGATACTTCAAAGCGTATCTTTTTTTTGGGGGGGGGGTCTGGTCGTGGGGCCCGAACTCTGGGCCTGGGTGCTGTCCCTCAGCTCTTCAGCTCAAGGCTAGCACTCTACCACTTGAGCCACAGCGCCACTTCTGGCTTTTTTCTTTTTTCTTATGTGGTGCTGAGGAATCGAACCCAGGGCCTCAGGTATGCAACGCAAGCACTCTACAACTGAGCCACCTTCCCAGCCCCAAAGCGTATCTTTTAAATAAAAGGATTTATTTTAAAAATAGGAAAGACAATACAAAATCAAAGGAGCATTCTGACTGGCAGTTAGGAGCTGCATTAGGAACTTAGGAAGAATGGCAGAAAGGAAGTTAGAAGCAAACAGACCTTGGGACAGCTCCTAAAACGATGAGGTTGGCTTTCTGCTTGTTGTTTCCAATGACAGCATTTTTCATGTCTCTGAATGAAGGGAAAGAAAAGAGGATGACGTATACTGACACGACACATTGTAGAGAGAGGGATTCACTCCACTTGCATGCCACATCTTGGATTGGCAAGTGTGGAGCACTGACCACTTGGTGTGTGACAGGGAAGGGACAGCGCTAGGCGCTCAGTGACCAGAGGTGCGTGCGTGCGTGTGTGAATGACAGCTATGTGGAGAGGGAGAGCAACTACTGAGTTGCTGTAGGGAGGCCCAGCGTCCTGAACATAAAGAAGTACAGGCCACCTTCAACACCCAATTCAAACCAGCAGCCCTTGAACACATGGGACTTGTTTTAGGGGATACTCTGCCCACTTTTCCTCTCTTTCTGACTTCAGTCAGACGACTTCCTGTGATTCCCTTTTATCTGCTTTACTGTCCATGTGCCGCATGCTTTGCTGGTTTTGTTTTTTCAATGGCTGTCTTCGGATTTCTGGGCATCATTTAATGAATTGGGACTTTCTCGTGGAGCCACACTGGCCAACGGGGCCTGCAGGGGCGCTTCCATCTCCCCACCTTTCTTTGGGCTGCTAGGAAGGTCTCAAACTTTATTTGTCCACTGGTTAGAAACAACAGAGTACATTGTACTCGTTTGGCTTTACGCAGCCAAGTATATTTTAGGCAGATTAAGCTATATTAAACATTTTCACTGTTCTCCTATATTGGCCAGTATGTTTATTCTAGCCACATGGGGCTCTTTAGCTTTCAGGGAGAAAACTACAGTAAGAGTACCTACGCTCACGATGGGAGAAACATCAACCCCACACCTCCTAACGCCTTAAAAATGGTCAGATCTGCTGAATCCCGGACATGGCGCTTCCCTTCCCTGCGGTGCTGCTTTCCTTCCCAGCCTCCCAGCTAGTCCTTTATGCTCCCTTCCTCCCTTTCTCTTATGGCTTCTTGCTGTCTGTTCCAAATGCAGCTCATTCGTTTACCTAGCAGCTACCTACTCATGGTCTACGTTGTGCCAGGTGCCACCGTGGCTACTCTAATCTAGAACCCTCAGCTCTAGTGTTTCCCCGGTCTCCTCATTCTTCCTAAACTGAAACAAGGTGTCTGCCCCATGATCCCATTCCAAACATAGGAAATAGGAATAAATTAAATGTTTTTATAGACAAAAAAATACACCACCCCCCCCGAACCAATTTACCAGCTCTCTTGATAGTTTACCAAAAAAAAAAAAAAAAAAAGATAGGAAGAAGGTAGCCAACCTGCTAAAAAGTTAAATGCAGACTGAAGAAAACATAATTAGTAACATGTACATTGCAGCTGGGAGCTGGTGGCTCATACTTGTAATCCTAACTAAGGAGGCTGAGATCTGAGAATCACAGTTCAAAGCCAGCCCAGGCAGGGAAATCTGCAAGATTCTTATCTCCAATTAATCACCAAAAAGCCAGAAATGGAGGTGTGGCTCAGAGGTAGAGCACTAGCCTTGAGCTGAAAAAGCTCAGGAACAACGTCCAGGCCCTGAGTTCAAATTCAGAACCAGAAGGGAAAAAAAGAATTCTTGCTTTGGCTTTAACAAGTTAAGCTGCCTATGATAGAGAGCAAACAAATTCCATTCAGTGTTACAAGGCGAGGATAGTAGCTCACCTCTATGAACAAGCTAAAACTAAAAGAGAAAATAATCATAATTCTCCAGGGCTCTAGCAAATCTAAGGACAGTGTAGTCTGTCTGTCCGTCCCTCCCTCCATCACACATCTGTCATCCTCATCCTCACATCTGAGCTTACATCACTGTTACATCCTCCAGAAAGATGACCACCACACCTCCGGCTTCTCTGTGAAAATACACCTGTCACTTTGTTACAACCGAAGTCTGCTGCCCTTTCAAGGCAAGAAAAGTAAATCTGACCTGGAAGTAGCAGAGAAATTCCTACCAATGGATCATTACTTGTGATTCTAGACAATGTGCCACAGAGAAATACGCACCTTTGTAAAAGGCAAACTCAACCATCACACAAGACAGGAGCACAGCAAAACTAAGTGAGATCGCTGTGTAATTACCTCTAACTTTACAATATGCGATCATCCTCACCACAGCCCTGAGGGGCGTCAACCCCGCTGGGGCAGACGAGGAGGGCACGGCTAGCTGCGGAGGTGTTTTCAGAACCCCGTATTCACTGACAGCCAATCCTCTGAAGCCACAGCTACTATACTAGATGATTATTCCATTACCTTCAACACATCAGGCCTTGTAATAAACTTGACAGAAAATGAAATTTGGTAGATTCATTTGCTTTTCTCTTTATATATGTGTGTCTTTTAGTTAGACACGTTTTCCCCAGATCAAAGGAACACAATCTCTTCTTTTTTTTTTTTTTATTGGTTGTGGCACTTGAACTCTGGGCCTGGGCGCTGTCCCTCAGCTCTTCAGCTCAGGCGACTGCTTTACCATTTGAGCCACAGCTCCACTTCCTGCTTTTTCTGTATAAGTGGTACTGGGGAATCGAACCCAGGGCCTCATGCATGCTAGACAAGCACTCTACCACTGAGCCACCTTCCCAGCCCAAGAACAAATCTTTTGCCAATCAACTTGAATCTCAGGGGAAGGGGTTGCTCTAGTTAAATTACTGCAATTCAACCATTTGATTTTGAGCTCAGCACGGTACTAGGCACTGGAAAGCGTACAGAAATACCATTCAAAGGACCTGTTCTGAAGTATTCAGTCTTCTTATAGAGACAGAGGCAACACAATGTAAGGCAGGGCTGGGTTATCACAGAGTGCTCACAAGGCTAAGAAACCAGATGCTAAGTGACCCAGACAGATTCCTACGGCAATGGTAAAGAACCAACACAATCCTAGGAAAGTAGATGCAGAGGGAAAAGCAGAATACAGCCCATTTCTGAGCAATGCGAGGATCCTGGACTGAACTACCTACCCAGCCCAAGGAAGTGAATGTGCTTTCCATCAAAAACCCAAGTCAACTTAGAGATGCACTGTTTACTTTTACACTATGTTTACTTTTACTATGTACACTAAGTGCAAGGGAAAAAGGCTTGGAAATTGACAGTAATTTAGTTCATTCTTATAAACTACAATGTGATACATATACTTGGAGCATAAATAATTTTAGATACAGTTCTGATCTGTATCAAAAAGAAAATCACAAAATGCTGTAAATATTTAAGTCTTTCTATAGTATCTATGGTTCCTTAATAAAGAGAACAGCTGGGGGCCAGTGGCTCACGCCTGTCATCCCAGCTACTCAGGAGGCTGAGATTTGAGGATCCTAGTTCAAAGCCAGCCTGGGCAGGAAAGTCCGTGAGATCGTATCTCCAATAAACCACTCAGAAAACCGGAAGTGGTGCTGTGGCTCAAGTGATGGCACATTTTCCTTGAGCTGAAGAGCTGACAGACTGTGCCCAGGCCCAGAGTTCAAGCCCCATGACCAATACATAAACAAACAAACAAACAATTAATTTGGGGGCTTAAAGGCATGGCTCAAGTGGTGGAGAAACTGCCTAACGAGCACAAAACCCTAGCACTAGCAAAACCACAACAAAACAATACAAAACAAAGAGGACAATTTTGAAAATTAAACCCTGGCTCAGAAATTAGGGTGTTTATTATAAAACTACTTTATCAATGTAAGATTCCATATCAATTTACATTTTCCAAAATCAAAGCATAGAGTAGCTACATTAATAAGTACCCAAGCACCCAGACACTTTTTTTTTTTTTTTTGGTCCGGTCATGGGGCCTGAACTCTGGGCCTGGGTGCTGTCCCTCAACTGTTCAGCTCAAGGCTAGCACTCTACCACAAGAGTCACAGCGCCACTTCCTGCTTTTTTCTTTTTGCTTATGTGGTGCTGAGGAATCGAACCCAGGGCCTCATGCATGCAAGGCAAGCACTCTACCAATAAGCCACTTTCCCAGCACCCACTTTTTGAGGTCTATTATTCTTTAACTCTACCTAATAATGTCTAGTGAAGATCAAAAAATATATTAGAACATTATGGAATAATGGGAAGTCTACAGATATAAAAAAGGCATATACTAAAATACATAAATACATAGCTACTTGTGGTAGTCACAATATTACACTTATATACACCCAGATTGCTAGTGTATTTAAGCAAAAATTACAGAAACTTGATGTAATAAATTCTAGATAACCCTGCCTCTCTTTTAACCATAGTTCTCTGAGCAGATCTGGTTTAGAACATACTGTTCTTTTTTTTTTTTTTTTTAATTGTAAAGCTACTATACAGAGGGTTACAGTTACATGAGTGAGGTTATGAGTACACTTCCTCTTGAACATTTAGAACATACTGTTCTAAATAAGCAGGACTCAAACTGTTACATCTGGTGTTAAATGTTCTTTGTATGTATTTATTGTGTACATTTATTAGAAGAATAACAAATTTTTGATAGCACTAGGGTTTGAACTCAGGACCTCCCATTTATTGGCTTGCTTACTCAGCTCAGACTGCTTGAGTTGGGCTGGTTATTTAGAGATGGAGTCTGGTGGAATTTTCTCCCCAGGCTAGTCTCAAACTGTAATTCTCAGATTTCAGTCTCCTGAGTAGTTATGATTACAGGTGTGAGCCACTAGCACCCAATAAGGAAATAAGTTTTTAGGATATTAACCTAGAATTATGTTAAAACTATTTAACTTAAAAGTTTCAAAAAGCAGTGCTGGGAAGGTGGCTCAGTGGTAGAGCGCTTGCTTTGCATGCCTGAGGCCCTGGGTTCGATTCCTCAGCACCACATAAGCAAAAAGAAAAAAGCCGGAAGTGGTGCTGTGGCTCAAGTGGTAGAGCACTTAGCCTTGAGCTGAAGAGCTGAGGGACAGAGCCCAGGCCCAGAGTTCAGGCCCCATGACCGGACCCCCCCCCAAAAAAAACAAAACAAAACAACGAAGTTTCAAAAAGCCTCATGCTTTGTGATAGGAACTTGTTTCTTTAGCTCAGGCAGGAAGATATATGTCCATAGTCTATTGAAATCTTAGGCACTTCATTTTCTAGAATCGGAAAACTAAATAATTATTATGAAACCAACCTCTTCAGTAGATTAAAATTCCCACCCCCCCCCCCTTTTTTTTTTTGGTGCCAGTCCTAGCTAGGGCTTGAACTCAGGGCCTGGGCGCTGTCCTTGAGATTCTTTTACTCAAGGCTAGCACTCTATCACTAGAGACTCAGCACCACTTCTGGCTTTTTGTGCTTAACTAGAGCTAAGAATCTCACAGACTTTCCTGACATTGGAGCTTTCAGCAAGTCAGAAGACCTATGGACAAAGCAGCTTAGCTTTGCCATGGTTGAGCTGGAGTAAATATAAGATACTATGTGGCTGGTAATATTAACTAACACTGGAAGAGAGGAAGGGGACCAGCTTGCTCAAGTCCAAATGCATCTGCTCACGACCCTGCTCTGTGCACCCCTGTCCCGGAACAGCTCAGGCCTTTAGTCCTGTGTGTTTCCCAGTTCCATGAGAAGCCTTAGGCTAGACCTAAGCTAGGCAGCCTCTTTACAACTCTCGTGTGAATTGTAGCTGGGGTGCTGAATGGCAAAAGGAGGGACAAGTCACCTTTGCGTCTCATGGTTTCCTATCTGTCCGGCTTTATTTGTGTAAAGTATAAGCCCCTCCAGTAGTTACTTTAAAATGTTTCCTCTTATTAAACATGTGGAAATTTTGGAGAAAAGGGCATGTAGGTTATTAAGAGTTTATCTAAATTTCTAATGACTGCTTTCTCAATTCTGGTATTTCAGACATCACTTGGAAATCTAATAACAATTGGCGCGTTAACTAGAAATAAAGCAAAACAAAAGCAAAAACAAAAAGAACTAACAAGATTTACCAGCTTATTCTCCCCTTGGCTTTCCAGTTACAAAACTGCAATTTTATTCTCTTCTTTTGTGGCTATTGAAAGCAGCAAAAGCATTCTCCAAAGGAAATTCCTTTATTTATTTTTTTAATGTGAAACAAGTATGCTGGGGGCGGGAGTGGGAGGGCGACAGGGAAGAAGCTAATCAATCAGGTCAGCTATAACTATCCAACAGACAAATCTTTTATAATAAAATACAAAAAGGCTCAAATGACAGTCTTTCCAAAAAGAAGCCAAATGGAGGAAAAGAGTTATAGCCCTGCATTTACAGAAGTATAGTAGGTAGCAGATTAAAACAAAACAAGCAAGACTTTTTGAAAGACTCTTAAATACATACTACTTACATGACACCTTGTAGAACTTTCTGGGGATCAGGGTCAAATAGCCTGTCAACATAGTGGCGACTGCTAGCTGTTACTTCCTAGAAAGTAGGGGAGAAATGATGACATCTGAAGCCATGCATATCAAAATTCATAGCCCCACCCCCAACAGCAACCAGCTACATCATCTACCTAAAGGAAGGTGCACAGATTCCTACTGAAGACTTCTTACTGCCTTCTCCTCTCTGTCTGGAATATGCAGGCAAGGGGTTTCTTTCTTTAAAGAACTGCAAACAGCAGTGTTCCCTTCAAGATGTCAAAGATCAGTATTTTTTTTCCAAGAGCACCCCATATCAAAAAAAACAAAGTCCATGGAATTACTGCAAATATTGAAACTGAAACTGGCAGAAGAGTTTAGGAAATTAACATAGTTACAAAGTACAAAACTTTGTTCATTTAAAAGCTAAAGGGGAAAAATACTAAGGGTATTTCTGTAGCTACTTTGCTAATTCATTTTGAGAAAAGCTTGGGAAGCATGACAAATGGCAAGTTGGAGAAGAAAGAAGACACCAAATCCCATTAGAACCTTAACCGGACAGTGAACTCACTCTGGTGAATCCGGGCAGATAGTCTCCCTAGACTTAGGAAGCAAGCTTGCAGAAACAAGTCACATATGTATAAGTATTTTTAATATAGAGAAATATAAGCTCAGTGCTGGTGACTCATGCCAGAAGTCCAACCTGCTCAGGAGACTGAGATCTGAGGATCTCAGCTGAAGCCAGCTTAAGCAGGAAAGTTCCAAGAGACTTATGAAGAAAGAAAGAGAGAGAGAGAGAGGGTGAAGGAGGGAGGGAGGGAGAAAGGGAGGGAGGGAGGAAGGGAAGGAAGGAGGGAGGGAAGGAAGGAAGAGACAGAGGGAGGGAGAGACAGAAAGAAAGAAAGGCAGGAAGGAAGCAAGCAAGCTGGAAGTACAGCCATGGCTCAAGTGGGAGAACACTAGCTTTGAGAAAATTAAAAAAAAAAAAAAGCTCAGGGACAGTCCAGGCTCTAAGTTCAAGGCCCAAGACCATACCAAAGAGAGAAGGGGGGGGGCATGCGCGCGCACACAGACCCCTAGACACACAGACACACACGGGAAGGCGAGGGATAATTGATGTGACTTCTGTTTAGTATATACAGAGGATGGAGAATTTGTCCCTTGAACTGACTCAGAAAAAAATAAAAACTTCAGTAATAGAGTTGTCACACTTCTGTAAACAATTCAGAAATGGGCTGATTACAGGTCCAACAGAGCTATCTATCTAGTCTAAACTAGATGAGGCTGGGTAAGTTGGAGAGTTAGAACAGAAAGAGTAACTGGAGCCAGGTAGTGCGTACCTATAATCCTAGCAATTGGGGGTGGGGGTGGGGAGGGGTGAGGCAGAAGGATCTCAAGAAATCCAAGGCCAGGTGGTTAAACTATGTCTTCAAAAATGAAATACTAAAAACAAAACAAAACAAAAAAAAAGGGAGATACTTACCTCCTTTTACTTGTATTTTGGGGTTATGGTTATTTGTTTACTTGGATGGCTAGCTCTTTTATATTTAGTTTCAATGTTGCATTATTTAAAACAAAGAGAATATACTAAAGAACCAGAGGAGAAGGCTTTGTTGCCCACTTGCTTTCAGAAGTGGGCTGGAATATGCTCATACATTGCCACCCGTTAGCCATAAATCATCACCAAGAGGAAGTAACTTTTCCAGCGTAGTCGGTAGAAGATGGAATACCAGCTTGAAACTCGGAGTTACAAAACAGTAGCTTTGGATGGGGCTGGGAAGGTGGCTCAGTGGTAGAGTGCTTGCCTTGCATGCTTAAGGCCCTGGGTTCGATTCCTCAGCACCACATAAGCAAAAAGAACAAAGCCGGAAGTGGCGCTGTGGCTCAAGTGGTAGAGCGCCAGCCTTGAGCTGAAGAGCTGAGGGACAGCGCCCAGGCCCAGAGTTCAGGCTCCATGACTGGACCAAAAAAAAAAAAACAACAAAACACAGTAGCTTTGGAGAACTGTACAAATTCTCGATTTGTGGCAATGAAGGGAACCCAAATCAGCAATGTGCTTTCCTTTTACACCCTCACTCAATTACTTTACCACTCACTTCCAATATGAACCCCATGTATGAAAACCCAACAGTAGAAGGAAACAAGCCACGAGGACAGAAATCACTGTACCCACTACAGACCACTAAAGCTCAAGGTCGTTTTCTTAACAGAACCGAATCAGAGTTGGAAGGACTCTTCCCAATTCCTTGCTGTGCAAACACATGCCTCTGATGATCTTCATCCAGGTCAGACCATTAAATCTTAAATAAAGGCCACAAGCAACAACACAAACATATCATGAAGCAGTACATCAAGAGCAAAAGCTAGGGCACAGCAGTGTGTGTGTGTGTGTGTGTGTGTGTGTGTGTGTGTGTGTGTGTGTGTGTGTGTGTGTGTGTGTGTGTGTGTGTGTGTGTGTGTGTGTGTGTGTGTGTGTGTGTGTGTGTGTCATAGTAGGGTGGGGGGGGGGCTCTGTCAATCCGTGTTTTTTTTTCCCCTTGGGTTTGTTTGTTTGGGGTATTTTTTCTTTTTTTTTAACAGTAAGTTCTGGGCTTGTTAAACCCTTAGCCTCTCTTCTGTTTGGTGGTGGATCTTGGTTTTACTGCTCCCTCTTTTCCGTTCCACAGCTCTACATGTCTAGCCTCTCAATGTGGTTAGGAATCATGAAAAGGCTGAAAGACACGTGTCTGAACAGCAACCCTGCTGCTCTGCATCTGGCTCGTGGATGCCACTAGCGCCGGCGATCTAGAGCCAGGCAGTGCACTGAAGATGACAAGCAGAGCAGGCCCAATGTTTCTTCCTACTGTGACTGTGTTCGCTCTTCTGTGTCCCCTGCTAGTATTCGAAAATACAAGTCTGCCCAAGACCAAGGCAGCACTGAGGAGGAGTCACTAGCTGGGAGAAGTCAGGGAGGAAGGCTTCGTGGGCAGTGATATCAGGAAGGACAGGGAAACAAGCCAATGTTAGGATCTCAGCCCCAGGACATGTAAACCAACATGCTTACACATCAGTATTTGCTGCTGGCTGTGCAGAAGAAGGGTACACACCTCCAAAGAGAAGACAGCTCAGGAAAGCCAGGGCCAGCAAACACCTCTCACAAGCCTGATGCAGCCAAGTGAGGCTACTTGGGTGCCACTGTGGTGTTGTGCCAGCCCACAGTTAAGTTACGTTAGTGCTCAACACTGAGATTGCGCAACAGAGAGACCCCTTGCCAACTCTCCGGGTACACTTTGGGAGTGATATTGTGCCCGCTGCCTTGTGACTAAAAAGGCTTTATTTATTTGCTCAGACTCTTAACAAGCAGCAATAGCCTATGGCCTTGGAGCTATCCATGGTGCTTGGGCCGGATCTGGCCGCTGCCACTGGCTTTCCTATCATAGTGCTCCTCTAAGGGGCTACCTGATGCACCATCTGCACTGCAATGATCACCATCAGGACCCACTTCATACCCAGGCCCCCCACACCATCTGTTAACACAAAGCCCTTTCTGTGGGCGTGACATCTTCATGGGAGATGGCTAGCATATTCTGAACCAAAAAAAAAAAAAGAAGGGTCTTGACAACCAAACCCCACACAACACCTTGTATGAATCTTTAAGTTGTCTTGTGATACTTTGATTCCCGTCCTCCTATGACTTAAAACTGCATTTTGGCTCAGCATATGCTGATGATAGACACCAGGACAAGTTAAAGGTATTAATTCAGAACTAATGCTGGGATTCAAGTACCCACAGCTCCTTAAAGTTATATATGTTTTCTCTGATGAAGAGGATGTGGAGCGGCATACCTGGGAAGGGCTAAGAACCAGTTATCTATAAATGTGCCAGCAGACGAGACCACATGGCCAAAGAGGGAAAACTTCTGGGTGCCGTGCCGGATCAAGACAATGCTCATGGCTCTTCCTTTTCCTTGGTCTTCTTATCCCATCAGTCATCATGCACATTCAAGCTGAATAAAAAAAATTTGAACCCTCCTCCCTGACCAGGGCAAAAGATGCTAATATTCTGTAATAATTTTCCTGGTGGCAAGCATCTCCAAATTTTAACAGGTCCCATGGACTGGAAATGCTTTTATATCACAATTTATTTCCCAATATAAAGCACACTCTTACTAATCTTCCTTCCCAAATACCCCTGTTATGAATATACCAAAGAACCTAACTAGTTCTTTAATCTTTTCAGTTGATGGAATGATGTCAAAATGAAAAGGTTGAGGCGCACTCCTGCAAAGCTGACCTCCAGTGGAATGCCTTTCATTCCTACTCAAGTGGCCCAGGGATCCTGGCAGGGTTCGGTGATAGCAGCTTCGCTCCGACTACCAGAAGGAAACAGGAATTTTGTTTTTGTCGAATAATACCCTCACCAGAACTCCACATGGCAGATGGTATTGTGAAACAACCGCCAACTCAGAAATCGCGAAGATACAAGCCACAGGCTGGGGATGTGGTCAGTGGTAAAGCACTCATACAGGGCATCCGAAGCCCTGGGTTTGTATTTACATACTGAGTATTTTAAAATTTAAAGACTCAATACACAGGCCTTTCTGATTCTTCATAGTTCAAGAGCCTTCCTCAATACTGGGTGTCTGAATCTAGGTGGCGATTTTATCTTAAAGACACAAGAGGCCCTGAAGCACACAATAAGCACCCCGGATTCTTCAGACCCTACCACTGAAGAGAAGGAAGTTCCTCTCCTGACTAACTCATGACCACCTGCTGATGTACGCTGTGCTTAGTGGTAGGGTAAACTAATACACATTTTTAAAGGTGCTCAACAGATTTCATTCTGTATTGATGATTAAAAGCCAAGGCTGAAGCAGTCTTGGGTTTGTCAGTTGCCTATGTAAGAGAGCAAATCAATACGAAACAACAGGCAAAGCCAAACAAATACAACCAGCAAGAGCCCAACGAACTCAAGTTCTATCTGGATTCTGAATAGCCTGTAGTTCTAATGGCTGCTTGTCCAAAAAAAAAAAAAAAAAAGAGCAGACTGGCATTTGGAAGACTGTAGAGAAGGCGGTTTATTTA